TCCCACAAGACATTAGAACTGTAGCAAAGAAAAAATCAATAAAAAATCATACACATTAAACAACAAGATTATCAGAACAAAATCAATAAGGAAAATCCCAAAAATTGGAGCTTAATTGGGGTGCCCAAAAACTTCTTTTAACAAAGTCAAATTAAACCATTTGGTAAAGCACCAATAGATCTCACAAGGGATTCTTGCCCTGCTTTTCCAGAGATATTCATCAAGGACATACACCAATCATTACATTACCTCAATGGGATTGCAACTCTATGAACTTCGGCAATAAACCAACATGCCTCTCCCAGTTTTATTCAGTATGCTAATCACGCTCTGTTTCTACATCATGCACAGAGAGAGAGAGAGAGTTTTGGCTTTTAGAATGGGCAATGCTGGCTTGAACTGATGATTGCCATGCTTTCTACATCAAAATCCTGATTAAAGAAAGAGCTCATATCATTTATCATCCATGATTCAATGCAATTTGGGTATGAAAAATGAAGAATGAAAGCAAAAAGAAAACCCAAATCAGTATGGGTAGTAACCCTCTTAAAAACGCTGACCTAATAATTTTAAGGATAAACCATGATCAGAGAAAAACAAACTAGTATGGATATACCAGCCTCTTCACTAAGGTAGTTCAAGGTAACAAGGGTGCTTGAAGACACTTATCTTAAACATGTAAATAGAAGTAATTTTGCAGTCTATTACAACATGATTAAAGCAGAGAAAAAAGTAATGTAGATAAAAAACTCACTTAGTTCAATGTACATGGTTGTTTGATGATAGTTGTATATGTACATGGTCAGGATGGGAGGGCTAAAACTATCAACTGTTGCATACTTTCCAAGAGCATTCATAACACTAACCCTGAGCGAGCTCTACAGCACACATATATCAATACTAATAATGTTAAAAGGATCGGTAAGGCAAAATAATTATAGAACACCAAAACCATATCCATTCCTCCAGCATCTGCCCAACAGGCTAGCATTGCTATAAGTGGCTCCATAATTAACTTCAATAATAGTCCACAAGGGATCAACGAGGCCTACTAAAAACTATTTGCACACACATTATTCATGCCTTTTCTTTATTCACTGACTCTTCTCATTCTACTCTTGCAGTAAACCAAACTTAAAACTTTCTCATCCATCCTCATTCTTTCACTCTCCCTCATTCACGTTGAAACTTTCTCAAGGTTCTTGGGTTATGCCCTCATGCATGAATCCCACCTTACTCTCGGTTAGCTCATAGTGGGGTGTCTATCTGGAGTTTCCCCTCACAACTCAATAATTTCATACTGCCTATTGGCTCGAATAACTCCATTCCAGATTGAGATAAACCCAGCCGTCGATTCATATCAATGCTTTGCTAACAACTTTCCACTGTCAAACTATCAGGTTAAACGTATCCTTTCCCCATATTATACTGTTGGCTACTGCATCTCAATGCCTTGTGCATATCCAAAATTCCCTTCTTTCCACCTATTATTAACTTCAACTCATCCATCTTCAGATCCCAAATTCTCAACAATGTTCCTCTCCTCCCAGTTTAATAGTCTCCATCATCTTCAGAACCTGCTGAAATCCTTCACTTTAATAGATCTATTGGCTCAACATGGACTACCTCATATTCAAGCCTCCCGAGCTTCACTGATCTCGTACCTACGAACATAATCTCCTCAAATTCATTGAAGACACTATATTGTTTCTTAATAAAACATGGCTCCAACACAGGATTGGCTCATCCTTCATTACATAACATTAAAGGAAACATCAGAAGACAATTAATATGCTTTTATTTGGTTCAACACAGCATTTGACTGCTTCGGGTGCACTGCTTTGCACAAAGGTGTGTCAAAATATTTACAAATATAATATATTAAATGAATATAGGCCTATTGAAGTCACATAGGTTGGGATCTTGATGGATGCCATGTCAATCTTGATGCCACAAAGATGCCTTAGTACTCCCAATGCAACAGCATTTTCTTATTTCTATATTAATGGGATATTTCGAATATTGCCAAAGAAAATGTATACATAAACTTTCAAAGAAATGCAATATATGCTATAATCAGAAGAGTGCAGTCAATTAATTCCATGCTTTAAAAGACTAGGATATGTAGGTTTATGGATTCTACAAGATGTTTGCAGCAATGTAATTTCACTGGTCTGAATGCAACTGGGTAGGACTGTAAATGGAACATCCACATTCTAAAAGACATAATTGCAATGAGGACATCCAAAACATCTAGCAAATAGTATTTACTGCATAAACTGATTTATAGGAAACAACAAATTAATTTGATATCAAGTCATTTTAACAGTAAACGATACATGTAAACCATTTGACTGGGAGATTTATAATGTCATGCAAACTAAATATCATTCCATATGCTACAAGAATAATGTAAATGAGTAAAGCATCTCACAAATGATCATCACCGACAAAGATATTTTTCTTGAGTAAAGCATCTCGCAAATGATTATCACCAACAAAGTGTACTCAGCAAATAGTGATGATTGTGGTGATGTCAAAACAAAAAAGTAAAAACTTTTTCCCTTTACTCAACCTGAAGGTGCCTCCATATCATCATTATTCAGCCACGACTCATCACTAAGTGGTAAAAGAGGTGCTTCATTATTCGTGACCCACTCTGATGTGATGTCTATCTCATCAAAAATAATAGGAGCAAAATCCAAACCCCTCTTGCATTTCTCTTTCAAGTACATGTTGTATTTTACAAACACCAAATCGTCCAATTTTTCTTGGTCTAATCTGTTCCTCTTCGAATGGACTTGTTCAAAAAACCTCCAATTCTTTTCAAATCTAGAAACACTACAAACTTGACTCAACACTCTTATTGCGACTTTTTGTAGTCTAGGCGCCTCCACACCATATTCCAGCCACCACAAACCTGAAAACAAAAATGACCAAAGTACTGGCAATTAGTACTCAAAAAGCCGAAGAAAAATATTGAAAGAAAGAAAGATCTTCAAAGACACATACTTGGAAGGGTTGTAGATCTGCCCATGATTGCAAAGTTATTGCCCATGATTCCAGTTGGAAATGCATATTTAGGCAACTCAACAGTCATCTTCTGTTGATCTTCCTGGTCTGGAACCATCCTATGGAGCACCTCAAATAACCCATTCTTTAAGGGCCCATCAAATAACCCATTCTTTAAGGGCTCACCAAATGGAAGCAATTTGTTGTAAAATATATGCGGGTTAAGATATGCACCAGCTGCATGTAGTGGGGTATGGAGTTGTTTTTCCCACTTATCAATCAAATCAAGTATAGTCTTGTAATTTTGAGAAACACCATTGAAGTGTTTTTCTATGGACTCTTTTGCCCGATTCATGGCTTCTAAAACATAACCCATAGCAGGTTTGGACCCATCAACAATTTTTAGAACTTTAACTAAAGGTTCAGAAATTCCAATTACTTCTTGAGCTGCTGACCAAAATTCATCAGTCTGTATAATAACAGCAACAGGTTGGGCATCAGCTCTCTTGCTAAACTTTGACTCTTTCCACTCCGGATGCGAAAACATGTGCCTCAAGTTATCTTTCAAACAAAGAATGCATTGCAATGAAATGAAATTAGAAGCAAACCAAATGATGCCTGGATGTAGTAGCTCTTTCCCATTCGTAAATCTTCTCGTCATCTCTAGAACCCAACTATGACCATAAATGAACTTTGTAATCAATCTAGCTTTATTTAAAACAGATGAGACCAATGTCAAACTGCCCAAATCCTTTAACATTGAGTCTATACAATGTGCAGAACAAGGAGAACAAAATATGGATTTGTAGTTTTTCTTTAGTAGTTCACCAACAGCTAAAAATTCATCTGTGTTATCAGTCACAACCTGCACAACATTTTCAACACCCACATCTTTCAACACCGACTCAAAAAACCCCAAGAGATAATGAGAATCTTTGAGGTGCCCAGATGCATCAAATGATTTTAGGAATACAGTTCCTTTAGGACAAGCGACAAAAAAGTTCAATAATGTTCTTGACCTATTATCATTCCATGCATCACACATGATTGTGCACCCACTATCTTTCCATTCTTTCCTTAAATCATTAACAAATTCATCGGCTTCTACCTTGGCCCTCTCCAGTAATGCCGTTCTCACTGCCTCAGAACTAGGACCCTTATATCCCACACCACAACTTGCTATAGCATCAATCATGGGTTGGTAATACCTTGACTTTGCAGCATTAAACGCTAAGCCATTGTCATAGAAAAATAGAGATATTAATCTATCAGCCTCCTCTCTTACTTGTTTTTTCCAAGAACCATCAACTGAAGTTGGAGTTGTAATTTGTGGACTGAATAGTGATGGAGAAGGCATAGTTGGTGTTGGAGAAGCTAAATCTAGAGTGATTGGATTGATTGAATTTTGAGAAGGGGAGATAGGTACTTCAGAGGACCGCTTTTTCTTGGAGACTTTGTTTCTTTCAACAGATTGTACACTCTCACGAACTTGGGTGCTCAAGGACAATGGAACATTTGGACATGGTGCCACGTCTTTGTTTTTCAGTCGAGCCAAGTGATTCTTGAATCTGGAGATACCTCCATATAACTCTTTCCCACAAAAATTACATTTCAAATGTTTCTCCAAAGGTGTGGCATACTCCCAATATGGATCTTTTCCCCTCATCTCTGAAATGAAGAATAAACCACAATGGATTTGATGCTTGGAAACATGCAAGCATAACGATAAAGATATAAAGGCATCACATAATATGGCTATTGCCATTTAAGGGTACTACAAAAATAGCCATGTATAAAAAATGGAGAGAACAAGAGCAGTCTCATCACTTGTGTATAACAATGTAAAATTGACTTCTTGAGCCGAAAAACGTATTTATCAAAACAGAGCACTTTAATCATTTCTATAAACTATGAGAGACTACCATGCATGTGCTTGTGCATGCATGCATGTGAGACTTTACCTATATATTTGGCTCTTTCATTGACAGTTGAAATTGAGACTATCATTTTGACAGAACAAAAGTAACTGCTTCCCTAGTATCAAGATCAGAGATTGGAATATTTTAAAGATTTCCATGGCCTATTTATAATTATTTGAGCATAATGTCAACATAATTTTAGAGTACTAGTACTATTACTACTAAACCAACCCACAAAAAAAACAAAGCCAGTTTAACATAAAAAATATTGGTGATATTTAGTAACATAATTGGACTACTATTACTGCTACAGCTACACGACTGATACTGCTGGTACTATTGTAAGTTTAATATTTGTAATAGTAATAACTTTCATAATCCTAAAAGCAGTGACTATGGTAATGATATTAGTGATACTGATGATGATAACTAGTTCGTAAGAACTTTTCTTAAATATAAGTTATTGAGAAGAGAATTGTCTGATATTCAAGGTTTTACATACGAAAAAAAAGAAAGATAAACTAAAATTATCATCAATATTTTTTAATTGAACGAAAATAAAACAACTTAATGATTATACTTAATTCCAAACAAGCTGTAAAATTTTAAATAACATGATACAATAAATAATTTTACTTGTGTCCAGTTAAAATCATGAATAGCCTTATCCAATCTGGTTCCTATCCCATTTTAATGATAATTAGATAAAAACCAAACATAAAATTTTACACAAAAATCTAACCAGATAAATAAATAAAAATTAGGGTTTTCTAGGGAGAACAAATTTACCGCGAGTTTTTCACAGGTTCTACCGAGAAATTGAAAAAACGTGTTTGTGGATACACAGAGACGTCATTTCTTACCTCTTGTTCCACAGTTCTTTCCTTTTACTTCTCCCAAGTCCTATAAATTACGATACCCATTTTTTGCCGAATTTCTCAGAGTTCCAAAGCCCAAATTAAAAATAAAAGAAGAAAAAAAAAAAAAAAGATGTTTTAATTACCAAGAAATTGCCAAAGAGTTATTATATATAGATTGGACCAACTCCATAAAAATAAAATAAATCTAATACAGTCTCTTTTCTGGTTTACCTCTATATCACCGCAATAAAAAATGATAAAAGAGAAAATAAGGAAGATAAAAGTAAATACCTGGATTTGCCGGAAAAAATATTTGAGATCGCCGGAAAATGGACCAGTGACCGGATTTACATTTCCGGCAACCGGAGAACCGTGAGATATCGAAGCGACGAGGAAGTGAAAAATAAATCTCGGGTGCCGATTTTTATCGGGCTTAGGATGGAAACGAACCGATATTTTAGCGGTTTCCGTAACCGGCATTTTTGGCGTATTTTTCAAAGCTTAAAGTTTAATATATCGTAGTCCCATTGTGGAGTATGTTGTTCCAAATCGTACACCGTCAGTTTCCTTGATGGATGGTGAATATTGGTGGGAGGCGGCCCGCAATGAAACAAGTCTCGTAAAATTCATCCCACGGGTCCATCAGTTTAAATGGACGGCGGATGTTGCCGCCTAGGACTATACGCCCTTTCTCCAATGGAATCTTTATTCCCTTCCGGAAAGAACGAAATTTCGGCTAGAAAGAGCCAATGTCACCTAAAATTTGGGCTCTTTTTTTAGTAAAGTGTTTGGCCGAAGGTTTGTATTACACTTTATTTATTTTATTTTATTTTCAGTTTAGTATAATTTAGCTTAGTTCGAAGTAAATAATTTATAGTTTAGTATGATTGAGATGACTAAAATGCTAAAAAAATGGTTGTACTTCCAATTACCACCTATTTAATATTTGGAAAAAATTTATATAATATTGTGGCCTAAACAATCAAACTTACGTGTACTTCAAAAATTCACGAGAAGTAGCAGTTTCGATGTTGAAAAACCCTCAAATATGATCATCTCGACTTTGAGATACATAGATGTAAAAAAGAAATGGATTTTGAATTTTAGAAATAGTGTATCTTGTAATGTATTATCTGGACTGTCAATTTTCAAGTGTTTATAAAACTACTTGATCTACACTATTTTTTGAAGGTCTAAATTTTATAATTATAGATGAAAATTAATTTTTAAGTCATCATAGATATTTTTGGTACTGAAATGATACCTTTTCATACTATTTGGAGGTGTACTTTACTTTGTTTAGGGTCTCAATCTTATAAAAAAAACCACATTGCTAATATTTTATTCATTTTCAATTATTCCAACTCAGACTCATGTATAAGTTAATGAGCTTTTTGAAATTAAATTTTTTTAAAAAAAAATTAAATAGTTTGTCTCTCATATGCATTTTGATAAATTGACATATTAAAATATCAAAAAGGCAAAGCATAGATGAGATTAGTCCATCTCAAGCATCACAATATGAATAGAAATATTTAGTATTTTTCTTCTTCTTATTACTTTTTAATTAAGTAGTTGACATTGTTCTTATCCATTGAGTTTTTTAGTGGGTCCTACCCCATATTACATTTCATCAATTCATCATCATTCAAAAAGAAAAACTTCCACCAGTTCATCGTCCACCATCACCTTAAACATTGTCAAGTGGAATATGTTGGGAATTAAAAATTTCCATGAGTTATAAAGTGAGGCTTTATTTATTTTTTATATTATTTTAATGGGGCTGCAGCCTTCTCAAACCATTTCCTATCATTAATGCCTTAAAAAAAATAGAAAAAAAATGGTGTGGGTTTGTATAGTGTATAGGATCTAAACTCAAATAGTGTCGTGAAATGTGGTTTTAATATTGAAAATCTTTGTGATAGATTTAAAATATATTTTTATATTTATTTATATAGTTTAAAGCTTGAAAAGTAGTGTACATTGATTTATCTATGAAAACTTGAAAATATTGAAAATTGACGATTTAAAAATGCGTTACAAAATACACTATTTTCAAAAGTTGAAGTCCATTTTTTCTCATATCCATACATCTTGATGTCAAGATGATGATCAATTTGAAGATATTTAAGCATCAAAACAACCTCTTCTAGTGAAATTTTCGAAGTAGGCTCAAATTTGATTGTTTAGAGCTTCGACTCTATATAAACCTTTTAAAAAAAAAAAAAATATTAACATGAACTCTAAATGTGGTGCGGTTTGTATAAAGCATAGACTCTAAACAATCAAATTAGAGCCTACCTTCAAATAGTATCAAGAAATATGGTTTCAATACGGTAAATCTTTGTGATAGCCTTAAAACATATTTTTATATTTATTATAAAATTTAAAGTTTAAAAAATAATGCCGATCCACATATTTATGAACATTTGAAAATCATAAAAATTAGCTGCCTAAAAATACACTACAAAATATACTATTTTCAAAAGTTGAAATTTATTTTTTTCTTATTTTCATGCATGTTGATGTTGAGACGATCAATTTAAAAATGGCTCGGCATAAAAAACAACCTCTTCTAGCAGAGTTTTGAGGTGGGCTCAAATGATTGTTTAGAGCCTTGGCTCTATATAAACTTTTCCAATTCTGAATACATCTTGTAGAGAAACAAGTTAATACGAGTTATCGCGCCCGTTCCAGTATTTAGCGTTCCGGCTTCCGTGTCACTGAGAAAGAGGTGCTCCCTTTGTGCAGCGCAAATTTTGTCTGGTAATTAGGGTTTTTTAGTTAACGGACATCAGAAAGCCTGAAGCTTTGTTGCTCTAGGGTTTCGAACTTATACCATGTCCAAATAGCTCTATTTGGGTTGACGAGCAAGTTTTAAAGCTGGTTATCTTGGGTTTTGGCTGATATCCGATTTGAGTGAGCCACCATAATTAGGGCTTTAGCTCAAGAGAAAGCTCAGAGCTTTTGATTAATTTTGTTATCCATTTTTATAAATCCCTCTTATTTAGAGACTTATGTGATTCTAGCGTTTTGAATTGATATCACTGGATTTTGGGTCATGAGAAAGCTTATCGTGTATTCTGCCCTTACAAATACCTAAATTTGACTTACCCAAAAAAAAACCTAAATTTGGAAAAGTAATGGCGGATTGTGAGTACTTGCACAATATGTTTGATATTAGGCTAAGGCCTCGGTTGTTAAGGTCTTTAATGGCAGATAGAATACCTGATGAGAAGCAGCCATTTTCAAGCCCTTTGGAGCTCTCTAATGTCATCTCTTATATCAAACTCCATAAATTATTATCAGAGACTTATCCTGTAAAGGTCGATAAATCTCATTTAAATGACAGGAAGAGCGCGGTGGACTCATGGATGGAGTGCTTATTATCATTGGCCTCAAGCTAAATGGTATGTCTGTTTTTATTACAACTCATTCCTTTCTTTTTTTTTTCCTTTTGGAAGAATATCTGGTTTTCTTCATTGAAATCATAGTCACCTTACATTTTATGAGTAAAAAATTACAATACAGTCGTTTTTTATACAATTTTTTCAGTAGTGATGTAATTGTCCGAGCTAGAATATATAGTTATATGCACTGTGCACGTGCTGGCTATATAATGCAAATCCATTGTTTCTTTCTCCCTGAATGATCGAGTTCTTGCGTAATTTGAACTGAAAATTATCAGGAAAAGGCATGCTCAGTACCACCATTTCTTGTACACTCTTACCACCATTTCTGATGAGAAGCAGCCATTGTCAAGCCCTTTGGAGCTCTCTAATGTCATCTCTTATATCAAACTCCATAAATTATTATCAGAGACTTATCCTGTAAAGGTCGATAAATTTCATTTAAATGACTGGAAGAGTGAGGTGGACTCATGGATTGAGTGCTTATTATCATTGGCCTCAAGCCAAATGGTATGTCTGTTTTTATTACAACTCATTCCTTTCTTTCTTTTTTTGTTTTGGAAGAATATCTGGTTTTCTTCATTGAAATCATAGTCACCTTATATTTTATGATTAAAAAATTACAATACAGTCGTTTTTTATACTATTTTTTAGTAGTAGTGATGTAATTGTCCGAGCTAGAATATATAGTTATATACACTGTGCTTGTGCTGGCTATATAGTGCAAATCCATTGTTTCTTTCTCCCTGAATGATTGAGTAATTTGAACTGAAAACTATCAGGAAAAGGCATGCTCAGTACCACCATTTCTTGTACTCTCTTAAAACCATTTCTTGTACACTCTACTTTTTTCTTGTTTTCTTTTTTAATGTTGGAGTCTGTATAGTATTGCATCATTTCAGCCTTGTTAGAGAGCCTTTGCAACTCTCGGTCAGCTTATGCATGATGCTGAACTAATTAAAATAAAAAACGTGGTAACTGTTAGACACTTGAAGGAATTATCTAGGTTTTTATTATAACAAACACATATTTAACACTCTTATATCAAGCCACTGAGTGGAGCCTAATACTATGTGGCATTTTAAATCGTTTAGATATGTTATGGTTGTTGCCTTTCCTTGTCCTAGTTGGGGCAAATACATTACATACTTATCCTACTGATTCAGTTTACAATTTTAATTCCTTTTAATCATATAAATTGGTATCCCACCAAATGAGAAACTTTGATATGTTTCCTCATGTTTTCTTTATCTTGTATGATTTGACAAACAATAATGACCTAGCTAGCAATCATTGTATACCTTTTTCATCCTGTTATCTCATACCACAAGGAATTACGTTTTGTGCTCCTTTTCTTGAAGAGCTGGCTTCCTTGTTTTTTTGCTTTTGGGTGTGTGCCTCTTTAAATTTATGATTCAATATGCTTATATTTGATTGTCTTTAAAATTATTTTAGTTCAATTATTCATTATTTGATTTCTTTACGTCAAAACTGATAAACTGACTTCTTCCATTATATATTGTAGCCTTACAAGTGTTGGGTAGGTGTTTGCTTGCTAGGCCTCACAATCCAAGAGTGCAGTTTGGACCGTTTTGTGGTGTCAGACTCTTATTGGTTTCAAAAGCTTCTTGTACACTTGAAGGTTGTAAGTCTCAACTTTCCCTTTGTTTATATCTTGTCTTTCTATCATTTTAAGTTAAAAAAAATTGGTTGGACATTGCCTACTGATTGGAGATCGAAGGATTGTATTCATCATTTGAAAATTAAACTGCATTTTTATGAAATTTTTACTCGTCTTGGTGCCATATATGTATATCTAGCTTTGAAATGAGTTGATATACATGACTTGCCAAATATGCAATTTAATGCAAAAGTTTTTGTATGTGGATGGAGGCCTACAAGAATTGTTTGTAAATTTGGTATTAACACTTGGTGGGAATCGAATGTTGTAGGGTCTTTTTCTATTATGAATTTAAAAGGGCATAAAAATAACCATTTTTATGCGAATCCAGATTCAAAATATAATAGTTTTATGTGTCATGAAAGTTTCAAAGTAATCTATTTGCTTTTCAGGATGGGTACAGTTTTCTTATTTACTAGCTCCTGATGGTGCACAATAGATGGGTATAGTTTCTAGATATGATGATAAATTGTAGTGTCTGCACCATTAACTAGTGACATCAAATGCACACGGACATGAACTTCATATATGAACCTGGACATCCAGAGGAGAGAGCACCATTCCTTTCTTGTATCTATTGTGTCTTCAGTTATATATGAAAGTACAATCATGCTCACCATTCTGGGAGGCGAACACCAGTGGCAGGGCAAAGCTCTTCTCCTTCACCGATCACTAGTGGTTGCTGATTGCCAGGCAAAGAGTCCAACATTTATGGCTCAAGCCACGATATGGCAGGCCCATCCCCCAGATTTTGTAGCTCCTTTCATTTTGCAGGGCCTTGCCAACAACCCCCTAGAAAGGATTGTGTAGTGCTTATATATGTAACCTTCCACCATGTAAGCTTTTTTGAGAGTAATAAAAAAAAAGGGTAGGGACTCGTTATCCCCACTGATTTCCCCCCCCCCAAAAAAAAAATATGGCTTATCATTCGTTTTCTTGCAGGTGTTGTATAGTATCACAAATGTACAAGAGACATGGATTTGAGGTCAAACTTAGGTTTGCAGCAGTCCAAACAAAACTTCCTAACAAGACACTGCTTATTTGCACAACACTTTGTGTACAAGTGAAATAAAAAAACAATATGATTTCCATCACTCTTATAGGTGAAAATAATTGGAATTTTGTGAAGCTGCTTTAACATGTGATTAGCAATGTAGCCTGCTACCTCAAGTTTGATGGGTTTTTTTTTTCTCTTTCAAGCTAAATGGAGCAATTAAGACTTAGATATTGATAAAAATTAAAGAAAAATAAATAAACCATTGAATGATTAAAAGGGCTTAAAAATATGTTCTTACATAGAAGCAGAGTAAGTTTGTACAAAATACTTTTAATAGAATTAATACTCTCGGTTGTTTACTACTGTTATTTGTTGGATTTAGAGATAAGGAGTGATGTCTGAAAATTGTAGTTTTGTAATGGCATCACTCATTCATTAATATCTAGCAAAATTTGACCTGAAACTTTTTATACATAAACTAGACATAATGTCCTCTCTTTGTTCAAATTTTACTGAAAATTGATGTACAATTGTCAATAACCAGTGTTCCAATAATCGGCCAGCCCAGCGCCTAGGTGCCCAAGAGGCCCGAGGTCGCCCACATAGGCCTGGGCAGGGGTCGCTTGGCACCAAGTCCTTTAATTTTTTTATTGATATGGTCCACACTTTTGAGAGCTCAAGAATTAGATCTTCATTATGTTCGCTTTGTTTGCTAAATGAATTTTATTAGTTTATCTACATCAAATTTAATCTGTTGTATAGTAATATACAATGTATTAGATGGACGGTATTTCATTCTTATGGTGTCCACTTATTATTGATTCAGCCTGCATCAAGCTCTCATTTCATCAAAGTGGATGCATGTGCTTCCTTACTGGATCTGTTCACAAGTTTTTGTTCTTACAATTCCAGTTTATATGTTTTTTAATTCATGAACATGATGTTAATCTTTTTTTTTTCTTTGTATTTCATTTCAAGAAATTGACACAATATTTTCATGTTCTTAATGTATTTTATTAGATTTTGAGTGCTAAAGATTTTATTTGCGTTGAAACCCTTTGCCTAATCAGTTGTAGGTGAACTGGTTCCTGTTGAATTAGTTGTAAGTGACTTCCATGTGGTAAACCTGATGATACAGACCAGGAGAATGTGTCCTGCTCTAAATGATTCCGTAAGGAACTTGCTTTGACATGACTAATGTAATAATGTGCATTTGAAGGGAATACTATTTTGGTATGACCATCAAGTAGTGACTACATTCTTTGCTTGTCATATTCATTGAAACCCTTTGCGGAGTACAGTTTTAGATATTATGATTCATCAGTTTCTCATATACTAGAGCACAGTTGCTTAAACCATATTTGTTCTTGTTACTATTGTAAGGTTGGGTGGCATCCCAAATGTAAAGAAAGAGGGGACATCTCTTGCTGGGAAGCTGATACAACCAATTCTGTGGTTATTATCTGAGGATTGCTCTGCTCAGAGGCTGTATGCGTAAGCATTTCTAAATCTACAATGTCTTTTTTTATCCATTTTCACAACATGGAAAGAATCTTTAGTTTTGCTTACATTCTGGTATTTTATTGAATTGGCTTGGGTACTAATCAACTAACAGTTATTATATATCACGAAATATTATGTTTTCATTTTGGGCATTGCCACTTTATCTTACAGGTTCTGTTGGTTCGTTCGTGTTCTCTTTATTTATAGAAATTATGTATGTATTTATAGCATGATGGTTATGCTTACAGACTGGTATCAATTTCATTAAAATCCATTATTTCACATGTTAAGAGAGATGGCTCTGATACTCGGCAACACTTGTTCACATTGTTTAGGGATCTCCAAGCTGTGTACAATTGTTGAAGGTCTTCAAGAGCCAAATGATATGCATGCTTGCTCTCAACAGACATCAATTTCCATCATTATAGGTTTGGCAATTATTGTGTTGGACATGGTGTGATTGAAATTTTTTCCTTCTAAAATATTAATAATTAAAAAATTGTATCTCATTATTTTATTTTGAAATTAGTTTTGAGTCAATGTTTGAAAATTTGAGTTTATTGCTCAGGACAACATCTTGCATCCTAAATCCATGTGCACTTGCTATGGTTTTAGAGTGGGTCTCAATTATGACTTGTCGATTATTTTGCTAGAATCAGGTGTATACTGTGACCTGCACAAGTTTTAATTGACTGTAAATACAAGTTTTTACGGTGTTCCAGTGCTTCTGAAAAAAAGGGTATTCTAAAGAATATTAAGTTTTTATGGATAGGGCTTAGTGAGTCAATTAGGGGCTTGGGGAGTCAACTTGCATTGGAACTGGACTGATAAGCCAAGTATGAGTTTTTTAAATAAGACTCATTTATGGGCACCTCCATCATGTCAGCAGTCCTTCAGAGAAAGGGAGACTATGATCTGAGTCTCTTGCGACCATTAGGTGGGCAAGTAAGAGCTATTGCTACTATTTTACCTTTATCTTTTCCAGTTTTTTTGACTTGAGGGCTGTGAATTTTGTCTATTTAACTGCTTCTTTCTGTCCTTTCATGCAAAGTTAAATGCTTCCACCTGTTTAGTTTCATGCATCTTAGAAAGAAAAATAGGAAATTTGTGGAAGATTGGGAGAGGAGAGGATAGAGAGTAATATTCAAGCACAAGATAAAGTAAATACATGTGTTTTCACACACTACAAATCGTAGGGCAATGTACCCTATATATACACAGATTCCTAAGGGGGTTATAGTATGGGTAGGTCAACATGCAAAAGAATTGCAACCATTGCAGCAGTAGTTACAATAACTGCTACAATTTGTTTAAGTGATATTTCTTTCTTGTTAAAAGTAAAATATCTTTTATGATTTTTCTGTTCCTCTTAAAAAGTTCTTTTTGTCTGTCTTCTTTTATTCTGTGGTCTCAAGTAGCTTTGCGGTACATATTTAATAAAATTGGTGGCTGAAGTAGCTTGTAATTAAATAATGCAGCATGCCACTTTGTATGTGCCTCATATAATTCTAGTTAAGGGAGTGGACTTCTCATTTATCTGTTCTTCAGGGTTGGCTCATCATTTATTCCAACTTGTCATACATGGACCATAGCAATTTTTTGTATTTCATTGTAGATCTTGATTTATATTATGGTGGAATCTTTGCAGCAAGAAATGGTCAATCTGTTATGCACCCTCATAACCTTCTTTCCATCTTCTATTCGCCATCATTATGATAATGTAAGTGGATCTCCTTGTTCTTCTATTTGCTCATTTGGTTATCAGTGATCATCGATCTTATTTGACGGGTCATGTGTCATTTAGATTTTAGATGACTTGGTTTTTTCGGTATATTCTATTTTAATTTCTTAATACAACTTAGATTCACTGATTGATTCGCCCTTTATTTTTGATATGGAGCTTACTGGAATTTTTCGAACTTGGGTGACGATCCTGTTCCCGGAACGCAATGCCCTGTTCCTGGAGCAGGTTCGGAGTTGGCATGCGATCCCATGTTGGGGGCATTGTTCCAAAAAACGCCGAGTGGCGCCTAGGGGGCCGGGGGGTCCAGGCCGCCTAGCGCATAGGCAGACGCCAGAACTTAGGCGGCCCAGTAGAAAGAAAAGTTGTTCTAACGTCAAATTTTGTGTAAAAAATTAAAAAATGCATATTGAGACATTTTAGTCCATAATTCCATGCATTTCAAATTGAGACATATTAAAAAATACATATTGAGGCATATTTTTCCATAATTCACGTAGCAACTTAGGAAGACATCAATTCATCATCAAGAAAATGAAAGAAATTAAGAAATAACACATAAGAGTTAGGGGGCACATCAAATATCTATAGTCCACAAGTCCACATAGCACATACACTTCTCCATACTCCATAAGTCCATATCCAATTATCCATTAAAACTTAAAAGTTTACAAACCGCAGTACACAACCAAGGGGAGGAAAACAAAAATGAAAGAAATATAGACTTGAAGACTCACAAGAGTCTTCAAACATCACTCATCATCAGAAAATCTGCTTTTGCTTCCTCCACCCTTGTCCTTTGGGAAGAAGATCTTGTGGCCTAGGAGGGTCTGTTGATGTCCTTGAGGCCTCCATGACCATATACCATGTCAATCCTTCATGCCCCTTGACATCATCATCATCAACCAGCCACTCCATAGCATTATCCATATTTTTTTATCTGAGGGGGTCTCTCTTAGCAAACCTCTCCTTTAAGTATCGATTATACTTGACATAGACTAGGTCATTGAGCCTTTTTTATTCAAGCATGTTCCTTTTCTTTGTATGAGTCTAATAAAATCAAATGAAACTGATGAATATAAATAACTAAATATACAATACTACAAAACTACAAATTTACAACTGACATATGAAATTACTAACTAAAACTAAATAACTAGTAATTATTAAAGGACTAATACAAATTAGTAAATTGTAAGTTATATACTAATAAAGTAAACTAAGTTACCATATCAAAAGTATCCAACAATGCTGCTCAACGAGAGGCATTTCTACCCTTGGGCGGTCATGCCCTAGGTTGACCAGCCATCATATTAGCAAATAAACGTATTCCTGAGCTTAATGCGTGAAAACAATGAGGGACTAGCTCAAGGAGTACTAAGATAGATGCTAACGGCAGTGCGACTCCTGCAGGTATTGAGAAGCTTAAGAAATGAAGCCCATTTCTTTGAAATCCCACAATAGTAATGCCAATAAAAATAGGAAATGAGGGGCCCTAAGTAATGAGAAAATGACTTGTCGCTGTGAAGCTATATGGTATCATACCCTGGGATTACGAAATAGTGAAAAAGTAGATGTGACCGAGATGCGAGGGAAAAAGTTTTGTTGAACATTTCCTGAAAGACTACCTATTTGTACGTTTACCGGGTTCGGCACGAAATCATGAATAAGATCTACCAAGGATTTCCAAGCATTTGGTACTGAGTTTCCCCTTCATTTTTTGTAACAAAATGAACCAGAAGCACGACAAAACAGATAGTTAACAGCATGGACAAAGATGGATTTGTGAATGAGAAATTCAAGTTTCCTATATTCATCGGAATCAATGGGAGAATGGCAAATTGTTCAAGTGGGCAGCCGCCTAGGCCTAGGCGAGGCACCCTAGCCATCGGGACTACCTAGGCACAGGGCGGTCTTTTGGAACAATGTTTGAACTATTTAACATCTCACCCATATCATTTGATCCAATTTCAAGTAACCCATTGTTCTTTTGATGAAATTGCAAACAACCCATCAAATAACACATCATAAAGGGTTTTGACATTTATCAAATCCTCCTATGTTGAAATATTTAGTAATTCAACTATTAGGTGTGGTTTGATAAATTTCTCATAAAAAAGAAGAAGCAATAATTGATCAAATCTATGTTCTATAAATTTGTCAAAGCACAAGAGGTTCTTAAATCTGCCCTCAATCACAGAGAATTTTAAATAAGATGCTCCCAGTGTCAACATTTAATGTAGGGAATGTTGAGATCAAACATTCGTCGTCAAAAGTTGTTTCTGGGATTTTTTTTTGGGGAGTATAAACTGAAATGAAGGGGTATATGTGAAGAAAAGGGCAGGACCTGCATATGATTTGACTGAAGTAATATTTGAGAAAACTCAAATAAATAATACGAGTTTGTGCTCTCAAATTTTATTTGAGTAAATTATTGTTAGTATAATTAAAGGAATTTCTAAAATATTAAGTTTTTAAAAATTGCAAAAATACAAATTTTTTTAATATTTATCTAGTTTAATTTATTTATTGTATGGACACCCTCATGGTGTTTCCAAACTTGGAAACTCCTAGCAAGCAATGTTCCTCCACTTCAAATTCTTCATGTGTTTCTGCTTTTAACAACTATGATTTGGAGGTATATAGGATTTAAACTTGTAGTCACAATGTATTAGTCTCTTTGTTTTTTGTTAATAAAAATCACTGTATTATTCTCTTTTTTTTTTTTGTTAATAAATTGTTTCTGTATTGTATCTTTAATGACTTCTTTTTATTTTTCTGTCTGCAATTATAAGAATGCCTTGATCCTCCAAAAAAATAAAAGCATATCGAAACAGAAAATCAGAAAATTCAATTTTTATTTGGACTAAGAAGATACCATTGAGTGACTATTAGAGATCTTTATAGATAACATACCATTGAGTGACTGGATTGGAGATCTTCATATCTAATCTTAGATTGAAAGCTATGACAGTTGAAGTCAGTTACACAACAGCCACCAGTTTTGAAGATATATGAAGCTACAAACAAGCCACTTCAGTGGTTTTTTCTATAAGCAAATAGCCACTGTAGTAATTACAAAAGTGCCTTTGCATCATTTGACTTGTTGTAGGTTCCATTGTGACATTTCAAACATTGCGGTTTAGGAGATGTAAAGATCCACACTGGCCAATTTGCGAGCCTGTGTGATGTCAACCCACACACACATAACTTCCTGCCTATGTGCATTCTGTTCTGATTCTGATTGAACTCCGTCCTTTCTGCTTTGGATTCTCATATAGAGGGAACTGTGATATTTTGTTCTTTTTGTGTAGCAACTTTTGTGCTTGTTTTCAACTGATGGGAAAGTTAGGGACATTTTAGAGAATCTCCAAATCAACCCATATTTAGGGGCATGGAGTCATTCTTGATCCAATAAGTTTCTTGATGCAATAAGCCTTATCAATTTTGAAGAAGAAAATGTTCAAGTGATTTTGTTATTTGTATGGTTTGCCACAACGGTCATAGTTAAGGCAGAATGGGTGTTCACTGGTTTAAATATTGGAATATCTCTGTCATTTCAAAGGATACATGAGCGTTATTCCTGATTACCTACTTATTATGCAAAGAATAAGGGTGATGGTGTAAATTTTTCTATTGTTTCTTATTCACTCATTAAGGGTTTTGTTGTCTGTGCTTTCCTTTTATTCTAAACTAGTTGATTACTGGATGCATTTTTTCTTATGGGCTCATATGGGTGTTTTACTTTTAATGTTTTTAGTGACTAATAATCAATGATGCTTGATTGGCATGTCTAGCTCATGCATGAACATATTTTATGTTAATAAGAGTAAATAAGGTGACCTTGAATGTACACTTTGGAGATGAATGAATCGACATGACCTATTACAATATTGGTTATTGTAGACAGTAAAGGATGCAATGATTTTTAAACATTCCCTAATTAAAATCATGTAATGTATGGGTTGACTGCTATGCATGAATTGGTTAGAGCTCATTAAAATTGTTCTCCTTACTGAAATATTTCATCTGATGTTCTTCTCAAAAAAATATTTCATCTGATGTTTAGAACCGTGGTAAAAATTTGAATATTCTAATAGCTATGTGATGCTGTGGCAGGTCGAAGCTGCCATTGCTTCCAAGATCATCTCTGGGAAATGTAGCATAAGTGTCTCCAAGGTAAATGACATTGCTAGGTTCTCTATTGGTAGCTTCTATTGTATTTTTATTTCGATCTTCATCGTGTTAAGAAGTAAACACAGTGTCAGGTGTCTGGATATCTCAATCATATATTTACTTCAAAAGATTAACTATTACGAATTTTTCTCCTATTGCATTCTGATCATTATTGATCCTTAATAGGTCCTTTACCATATTCTTGCTCTCCTTATCTTTGTCCTCCATCAAAAGTCCTTCAGCTGTCTTTGTTTTCCAATTTCTAGAAGTTTGCCCTGTGCTTGGCTTTCCTTCCCAAGGCAAGAAGTGATGCAGACTGCTGGTTCTCTATGATGCAAAAGATAATTATCTCAATTAATAGCGATCTCAATCAGGCTTTTGAAGGCCTAGAAGGAGTCATGTGCTACTTGTATCCTGATTATGTAGTCCTCTGTGTGTGTGTGTGTGTGTGTGTGTGTTTGGAAAAATTTCTCTGAGCCCATGGCTAAAGTGCTATAGTATATATGCCCAAGTGACAAAACACCTAGTTAGGGGGATTCTTTTGACCCGAAAACTCTCAATTTATGTATGTTCATCTTTAAGATCAATCAAATTTCACTAGAAGAAGTTGTTTCGACGCCCAAAAATCCGCAAATCGATCATCTCGACCTCAAGATGTATGAACATGAAAAAAATTAGATTTAAGTCTTGAAAATAGTGCATCTTGTAATACATTTTCTCGACTTTCAATTTTCAAGATTAATAAAGTGTTTATAGATCTGTTCGATCTACACTATTTTTGGAGCTTTAAATTTTATAATTAAATATGAAAATAAATTTTCAAACCATCACAAAAATTTCCAGTAGTGAAATAACATCTTTCGACACTATTTCAAGGTGCACCTTCTTTAATTGTTTAGGGCCTCAGCTTTATACAAACTACACCCTATATATATTTATAGTGAAACGTTTTGATCCACCCAAGGGCAAAGTATCCATCTTTCCCCATTTTAGGGGCATTTGTTCATAGCTGACCTCAAATAGTTGGGAAAAGGTTCTGATGATGATGATGATGATGATGATGAAGGGCATCCATTCAGGCCTAAATTTTACCCACGCACTCTCTTGGACCCAGTGAACAAGATTGTGGAAAAGAAACATGTGTGTGTGTGTGTGCGTGCGCGCGTGCATGTCTATGTGTGTTTATTATTTATTTATTTTTGGGCCCAAACAAATGCCCTCTAGGATCCACCATTTTTAACAATGGTGGAGGGTGGACATTGTAGTGGTCCTTCCTTGGGTGGATGAATTCTACACACCGACCAACACCAATCTAGCTTTTCATTAGTGAACTAAAATATCTTATTGCCCCTGTTGCAGCAACTAAAGGTACTGAAGTGACTGCTATCTTGGTTCCACCGGGTAAAGATCCACCTCCACCTTTGGGAGGTCAGTCAGTGTTGGCCCCTAAGGAAACAACAAAAAGATTTTGGCAGTTGCTTACTCCCCGAGTGTCTGTTCTGATGCAATGCTGTTCAATGATGCTTACCCATGCTTACCCTGTCCAGTTATATCACATTTCTATTTTTTATTTTTTTTTCTTCGCAACACCTTCTCTTTGATTATTTTCATTCAACTGTATGTGTGCTTAATGCAACATTTTGGTTGATAGATATCTCCTTGAAATCCCTTTGATTTTACAATGTTTTTTTTTTACAAAACAGGTGACTGTCCCTATTCGTCCTCAGCTTGCACTTGTTGGACAAGTAATATCTGTGGATGGTGCTCTTTGCCAGACCTTGATGCCCATTCTGCTAGTTTCCCAACAGTTGTTTCTTTGCTCCGAGCTACCATTATTGCAATTATGTAGTTTGGATTTACTGACTTCCATAATCAAGGGAGTGGGAAGGTGCGAAAATGTTTTATTTGCTTTTGGCCCAGCAGATTTACGGTATTATGCCTTGAATTGTTATATTTTGTTAGATGAATGTCTTAGTGGATTGTCTTGCATTGCTTACTCTTTGTAAGATGTTCTTCCCTGATAATTCTTTACAGAATCTTTCATTGGGGAGGGTTAGAATCAGTGACCTTTACTCAAAAAAGAAACAACAGGTAGCATTAAAAGTCCTATTAGTTTAAAGTTAAGAGTCCTATATTAAGCGCATGGACTTGATCTCTTGGCCTAAATTTATTTACACGATTTTTTTTTCTTTCAATTCACCCATTTATTCACACGTGGCCTTTCTGTCTTCTTTATTTATATCAAATCTATACTTACCAATACTTAGCATATCCAGGAGTCATTGTGGGGATCTTGTTTGAAGATTGCTTTTACTATAGTATCTTGTCTGACATTTACTCAATTTCAGTTCTAGCAGTCTATGACCTAGGTTTTGATCATCTTTCTGCATTCTGTCATACATACTAATACTTTATTAAATATGTTCTCACAATGCCAAAATCCTTGTGTGTGCTAGAATTGCAACAGATTTTGATTTGCACCCTAGATCATTCATGAAAATTAATAAATAGATATTCATGAAAATTAATATTTTTATTTCTGAATGCATGTCAACCTTTCTTTTCGAGAAAGTGTTAGCTGATGTATGCACATTTCATTAATATGCAGTCAACTGTTGCCTCATGCTGCTGATGTTGTACGACTCCTAACAGAGTGTTTCAGGAGATGTGCACTGCCTGATTTAAGAATAAAGCTGTACTCGATTGCACAAAGGCTGCTGATCTCTATGGGCATAGGTATGGATCAAGTCTCCTAAACCTATAATAGTCCCCCTGTTCTTAATTAGTGCTATCTGTGGAACATGTACTCATTATTATTTCTCTTTAGTCTCTTTGTATGATTGTAATCGACATTACCCACATGATTGGCATCAATAACCACTTTTATGTTTGATAAATTTCCAAATTTCAAGTTACTTCTAATTGTTTTTCTTTTTTGAATTATCAATGCTTCTAAATTGTCTGAAAGGATTCTTTTATAAAAAATTGTTCAAAAGGATTTTGCTTCTTTTTAACTGGTTTGTACTATTCTGTTTTCTCTGCATATTTTTATATGTACTTTGTGCTTATTGCACACACACAGAGGGCTAAGAAGTAGATTGCATGATTGCAAGACAATATTATGTGTGTAACAATATTATCTGTGTAAGAAAGTCAAACAAAAAGGGTAGGTAGTATACCATTATTGTCCTAATGGACGTGTATTTTTTATTCTCACTACATTAGCATGATATGGCCTTGTAGATGGAAGGAACAGCTTGTTGTATGTCTACAGAGGACTAGATGAAGGCATATTTTGGGAGGGAGTGGATATCTACTTTTGAAAGTAATGGATGTAGGATTAAAAGTAGATTGCATATAATGTCCTACTGCAGGAGCATATTGCGCATCTACTCCCTCAGTCAAAGCACCTAGCTAGGTTGAGTTTTTTATTCTAAAATTTTGGGAACCATTTAACAAGTACTAGATTATTTTTAAAGGAAAAAAATTTGAAATTTGAGTTCTGTGACACTTAGATCTAGGCCTTAAAAAATTGGACGGTCTCTATTTGATCTTGAGGCATTAGTTTTTTCTATTACATGGAGAGTTTATTTCAGAATTTCTTTTGCTGAGATTATCTATGGTTTCAACAGATTAAATCCCCAAAATTTGAGATCTAAAGAGTATCCCTAGCTTGTGTTTTGCCTGAGGGACGAAATGGATAGTATCCTCACTAGGGAGGAGGAAATCTTTTAGCTTAAAAGTAACATGGATCTCTGTAATATGCATTTTAATTGCAAACAAGAGGATTAATGTGAGAAATGTGGTTGGTCATGATGATATGAAAGTACTGTTTGCATCATTTTGTTAGGGGGCCTTAGGACATGAACACAGGAGAATCAGTTAGGTTTTTAAATAATTTAACATCTAATGAAATGAGGTCCTTGCTAAATTTGAACATGAAGACATGAACTTATGATTGTGGGTTCAATTTAAATAGTATTCCAAATTTTGTGGCATTATATAGGTCCTAAGTAGGTCTTTTTATTTTTTTGTTGATGAACAGATCCTAGGTGTGTCTAAACTGTTATAGATACAACTTGTTCATGTAATTAACATTAAAGCTAGAAATCACAGAAGATGGTTCTTAAAATGTTCATCTTGAACAGGAATGGCTCTTTACCTTGCATCAGAAGTAATTATAAATGCATTTGTTGACCTGAACTTTACCAATCACAACTCTGTCATAAGATCATCCCAACTTCTTAATTCAAAAAGTCGAAGGGTGGTGGAGCTACCCTCTAACCAACGTAAAAGGCAGCGTGGCCCTGAACCAGAGCCCCAGAATGCAGTTGATGCTGAAGCTGAAGATGTGAACATCAATAGCACAATTCCAGTTTCTGTTCAAATATCAGCACTGAAGGCATTGGAAGCCCTTCTCACTGTGGTATGTGCATCGTACTGATTCATAAGAACCATAACTGGCTTTTACCAAAAGGCATGAACTACCTACGTATGAGATACCTTGAGTTATCTAAGAATGGTCAAGAACTGTGTGTGCGTGTGTTTAGAGAGAGAGTGGTTCTGATGCTCTATATGATCACCGAAAGTCTATGACCCCTAATACCCATCAATTATCATCCATTAGGTGAGAGAGAGATATGATATATGACCACTAAAGACTAGGCCCCTTAACCCCATCGATTGCCATCCATTTACATGCATGTTTTTTCTTTTTGTTTCCTTTTCTGTTTTTTGTGAGGGGGGATTTTTTTTGGGGAGTGTATTCAATGAGACCATTTACCTTTAATACAAGAATGTCATCCGATATGAAATGTGATAGTTTAGGTGTGTCATAAAGTTCGAGAAAATTTCTTTTGAAGTTTGAGCTTGGTTAATAGAATAAATACAGCCATCTAATTCCACATCCAACGGTCAAGATTAATTGTGACTACCTTGTATGAAAGATAAATGGTCTCATTGTATATTTTCCTTTTTTTTTGGGGGAAAGGGGGGGTAAGAGAGAAAGACAGAGGGGCTGATATGAGTGTCTCTTCTGACAATTATGTTGTGTAGTGTATCACTTCTATCACTTTTAAGTATATGAACTATTTTAAAGATTTAGCAGTGTGGGACGCTGAGATCAGAGTGAAGTAGACCTTCTGATAACGGCAGCCACCAATGTTTTTGATGGGTTGTGTACATTTGGGGAAGCAAATGCCCTCATAGCTGATGAACCGGCATCCATAAGAGCTGATTTTCAGCTTGCTGCTTGTGAAGCACTATTGGCATCTCTCTCACCATGTGGCCATCATCCACCGTATTTATCTCAGGGCCTTGCTCTCTCTCTCTCTCTCTCTCATGGCTTGCAGGAAAGATTCGAACCTGAGATCTCTTAATGGAAAACTAAGCCTCTTTCTCGCTATCCCTTGTGCTCTATATTTCTTGCCACAGGCAAGAGGGAAGGAGGAACAAGGCTTGCTGAGTTCTGCGCTCACGCTCTGTTAGCTCTACAGCCACTCATCCACCCTCGTGCGCTTCCATTATGATCAGTTCCAGCCACTAACACTGGACGTAAGTTGGATGAGACTACACTTTCCAGTGGTCAAAGGCCAGGCATGCGATTTATTGATGAATGGGCAGGGTCCTCAAGTTCTAAAAGCGACGATTTTTATGATGCCTTGTGCTCAAGCTGGCTCAAAACCAGCGAGGAGCCCTCTGAAGACACTAATCAGGCAGAAGAGCCAGGTGTAACTGGCGTTTTTGGCCAAGGAGCAACAGAGAATTGAGTGGTAGTGGATTTGAATCTGGCATTTTCGACAGAAATGCCTGAGAATGTGGGGGATAAGAGAGCGGGGGCTAGGAACTGGTATTTTCGACAGGGAAATGGAGAATGTGGGGATTAGGGGAGAGAGACTGTTTGGAACCAGTACCTTTGAGCAAGAGATGATGCAAAGCGAGGCTGAGAAGAGAGAGAAAGTGTTCGAAACCAGAGTTTGTGACAAAGATGTAATGGAGAATGTGGAAGATAAGAGAGAGGAAGCGTTTGGAGGGGATGCATTGTTTGACAATGTGGTTCCCCAACAGGTGAGCTATTTTCGAGTAAGGTTTTTATGGTGGCATTATCAGATTCTGAACCAGAACCCTTACCAGACATTGTTGATTCACCGATTAGACATGGGGGTTTTGCCCTTGGCTTAACTCGAGCTTCAATTTTGTTTTTGTATTTTATTTTCGTAATAATAAAACCTGCTCGTAAAGTTTGGAGTACCAAATTTTAGTGCTTGCATCAAATTAAACTTAGAATTAACTCTCTAGGAAAGGGCATCATTTTTTAAAAAAGCATTTGTACAGTGTGATATCCTTTGAATACAGGAAGTTTGTAGGTAATTGCAATATAACACTAACATCCTAGATAAAATATGAGCCTCGTCATAACTCAAAAGTCTTTTTTCTTGATTTTAAGCATCGTTTTGTGAATTTTCTAGACCAGTAAAAATGACTCAAAACATTTAACTTCATCTGTATATTTCCCAAACTTATGGTGCAATCCTGTTAAATATAGCATATCCTTTTCTTTCTTTTTTTTTAAGCTGTTAACATTCTGAAAAAACATACTACATTATCATTAGCGTTTAAAACTGGAATTTTTGAGCTTACTACACTAAACCGGGTCATCCTCACTCTTTGAGATGATTCCAACCACTGTTGTGTTTGTTTGTGGAGGCGAATATTATTCCAACCGGTTTGTATGTGTGAGATTATTCCAACGGCATAGGAGAGAGGATACCTGAGCTCTACTTCCAGTATGAAAAATAAAAATGATACCTGAGCTCTACTGACTGAAGAGCTCTCTCTCTCTCTCTCTCTCTCTCTCTCTACGGGAACGCTGACCTTAAAAGAGATGCTCATACCATGCCCTATAGGATCCACAGCAATTGCTGTTATTTCATGAATTTTCAGAAAAGTTCAAGTAATGACCTGGAGGCTTAGGTGGTTGGGTTGATGGAGCAGCAATGTCGCCCGTTTCGATTCCGACTTGCCATATCCACCCATGTCAAAAAAGAGTAGGCTTTGACAAAAATTAAAGAAAAGTGTTTTGCACTAGTGCGGATTTATGAAGTTTCATCTCAAATCACACAGGAAATGTAGTTCCCGTGATAGGATCCTTGCAAACCAATCACAACAACCATGATAATCATATATTTGATAAAAACAAATGATTTTAGGCCCTAAAAATGGTCTATCTTGTAACACATTTTTTTTTGAAGCAATCCGGACAAAACTGCATCATTTTTCAGCTTAACAGTCAAGGGTAAAATACATTTGTAGGCTATCACAAAAGGGTTTCCGTCACCAGAACACGTATTCCAGCACGGTTTTGAGGGGAGGCTTTAACCAATATGGTAAAGCCCACACCCATAATTTGAATCAAATCCTCCTTACTTGGAAATTTTATATGTTCACCAACATAACCCGAAAAAAGGGCGAATGGCTCAATTTTCATATTCACATAAAACACTCGATTTTCATAAACTACATTAGAGACCAGATCCAAAGACACAAAAAGACATAAACCGGGATCTGAGAGACCAATCTTATCTTTTCCTAGGTGGAGGTGTACGGTTTCCAATACTCCTCGACAGAGGCTTCTCCTCATTGAAAGGTCGAGTCGATGAATCCGAAAGGCTGGGCAACCTTTGTACACTACCTTTACCTCTCTTTGCATTTGGACCCAATTCCTCTATCATGTATTTCCATCCATCTACCGGTCTCCTCCTACTAAATATATGGGACTTGATGAAACTAGCAATCTGCATGACATATCAAAAGCTTTTTAAGATAAGTACTACCACCAATGAAACTACATATATGGGGCTTTTCTAATGGTAACACCGCGTGAAATCCTATAAATTACATATAAAAGGGGGTGTAAAGTACTAAAATTACTCTAGGTGCATCTTTCCTAATCACTGTTTCTACAAAATGAATGAGCGTGTTGTTATCATTAACGTGTATGATGATATTTGCACTAACTGACAAGGGGTATGTTTGTCATCTCGAGAATGATATTTTTGAAATATTCACGACAAGGACATTTGTTTAATAAAATACCTGAAACTTCACTCTATAATTACCCTTGTCTTTTAGTAAAAATATCAACAATGTCTTCTCTAATGAAAAACTACCCTTATTCATTTTAAAGAAATTTTGAATAATAAAAAGAACTATAATAATTTTAACAATTCACACCCTTTTCTAAAAATAACCTATAGGATTCTATAGGGTGTGCCGTTAGGAAAACCCACACACACACACACACACACATATATATATATATATATATGGAGAAAGTTTATATAAAGTGTCAACCTTCTACTATAGAAGTATTATGCACCTCAAAAATCTACTTGAAAAGGTTGTTCTAATGTTGAAAGACCTTATAATTGATTATCTTGACATCGAGATACATAAATATGAAAAAAAAGAACAGATTTCAAGTCCTAAAAATATTGCATCTAGTAATACATTATCTAGACCGTCCATTTTTAAATATTTTTCAAGTGTTTATAGATATGCTCGATCTGCACTATTTTTGGAGCTTTAAATTTCATATTTAGAGGTGAACCTATATTCTTAGACCATCATAAGGGTTTTCGACATCTACATCTTTCAGCAAGTTTAGAGGTGCACATTACTTTGATTGTTTACTGTTGACACATTACATAAACCACATCCTCTGTGTGCGTGTGTGTACACAACAAACAAAAAGCTTTACCATCGTTTTACCATGAATTACCAAGATGTATGAAATCTTGCAAATTCCAAAAAAGAGTGAGATATTGACATAGCTGTATATTTATTTAGTTCTAACTTTAAGCATATGAGAACTATCATTTCCTTTTGGGTGTGATTGTATTATTTGATGCAGGTTGGGGCCTGCAAGGAGTTGCTGATAATCACTCAACCCCAAGGAGTTGCTTGTCATTGAATCACTCAACACCAAACAGGAAGAGTAACTCGACCCCAAGGAGGACATGCTCAACTTCAAAGTCCAAACTGCAACAAATATTTGCTAGCAACAATGTTTTTCCTTCCAAACAAAATCGAAAATCTAATGTTCATATGAAGCAGAACTAGAGTGTGGTGACGATTTCTCAAACTCGAGCTCAAGTTCAAGCTCGAGTTCTTTTCGAGAAGGGATGAATGATGCAGCATCTAGTCAGCACATGGTTGTAGGATTGGATTTGGAATGTTGTTGCATGAAAATTTAATGTATTTTGCATTAGAAAAGTTTATATAGGAACTAGGATTGAAATGAGCACCAAATAGAAGTAACTCGACTTCAAGGAGAACACGCTCATCTCCAAACTGCAGCAAATAATTGCTAGCAGCAATTTTTTTTCCAAACAAAATCTAAAACCTAACATTCATATGATGCAGAACGAGAGCATGGTGAAGATTTCTCGAACTCGAGCTCGAGTTCTTTTCGAGAAGTGATGAATGAAGAAGCACCTAGTCACCACATGGTTGTAGTATTGGAATGTTGTGTGAAAATTTATTGTATTTTGCATAGGAACATTCCATAATTGTTGCATGGATGATTGATTTAGTTTTGCATGTTTCCTATTAGTGTTTACCTTTAGTCGATATTTTGAAGGTTTCTAAGGTGGATTTTGGTGTTCTAATGTAAGGGGACTTGATGAGGGGGTCTTTAAAAGCATCTAGATTTAGGTTTGACTCTATAAGAGCTTTGTAAGGTGGTTAAAAATAACAGTGATAAATTTTGAACGTAAGGTTTTATTTCTTGCAAACAATTCTCTGCTGCAGTTAGAGTTGAGTAATTCTTCTTGTTTGGCTTCAAATGATTCCGCCACAAGCTCGTCAAATGATTCCCAACAAACGGCCCTAGCCTGCATCCCTAAGGGCATGTTTGTTGCATGAATGAGGGGGCTACCAAAACCCTCTCTTCCCCAAATCAAGGAAGGGGCGGCTTCAATGTTTTCGCTTTGCCCTTCCTAAAATAATTTCTTTTGATGTTTAAGAATGGAATGCTGCACTTCCGTTGGGGCTCCCAAGCTCCCGCAACAAACACGGGAGATGTTTTAGTGGAATTTGGTGACAGTGCCCGGATGTGGTGTGTGCAAATTGTGATTTGTGACTTTAAAAATTTTGAATGGATGAAGCAAAAAAGTTTAAATGGCACACAAACACACAAGTATCATCAATCCTTCATTAATGTGAAGTAAAAGAGCATACAGTAAAAAACAATTACCTGAAAATTGAGTTTGGACTGCCCCGAGTTGGTTTAGCCAACCCTCTTAGACCTCCTGATTTTTTGGTAACCAGTGGGAGCCCCACAATCTCCTAGACTTCGTGTGAGACTTGGATTTTCGGAACACAACCTACAATTTTTCCCAAAAGAGGAGCAAACTCTGCCAATTCCCTATAGGCCCCCAAAGTTTCAAACCTGTAGCGGGGGAGGGTACCCTGATGTCTTCGGCTCTAATAGGGGTTTCTGGGGAGTGGGTATCTTGTACTTTGTTTGCTTGTTGAAGGGTGGTAGTTTGGTATTTTGCTTGACTAGGGTTAGGGTTAGGGTTTGGGTATAGAGAATTAACCAAAGGGTTAGACCTAGGATTAGGCGTTTCTCACTCCAGATTTCTCTCCCTAGATCTCTTTGGTCACAAAACTACACAAATGACTCTACCTTCTTGAAAATAAAGTGTTTAACCCTTTTTGTACTAAGGGTTTCAAAGTAGGGTGGATTATTAATTATTGGGAGAAAGGTGGGCAGATAATTAATTTTGTGTCCCTTCCAAACCTTCAGCCATACCTATGGTATGGGGCCTTTATTCTTCAACTTCTGGTGCCAAAACAGGCGATCCCTCACCACCAAATTGTAGATCTTAGAAGCGATCAATTTGCATCAAATTTGGGTCCAAAACTCAGAGATTTGGTGGAGTTTTGAATGAGTTTCGTAATTTTGAGCTTCATGCTTCTTCCATACACCCATTTTGGCTCTTGGACGGGATGAAAATCAGCTCCATCTCAAAATCAGATACGATTTACACAGAATTGGACCTACCTTGATCATGACTTTCCATAAACCGTTGGAAAGCTTATAAAGTCACGATGAAATGCATAAAATTTCATTGTCGGAACCCCCTCATGGATTGAGAGATATTACTGAAAAAATGGTTAGAGGTCATGAAACATGAGAAATAGCATGACATAAAAAGTACCGAACATCTCTCAAGATTTCGACTACCTTTTGGCTTGAGATACCCCTTGATATGCACATTGTTACAAAACTTATAAGTCATGGAATGGCATATCCAAGCCCAGCTCCAAACTCCTCGTGGTTTGAGAGAAATCGGCCGACAAAAATCACAAGAAGTTGTTTTTGCTGTGTTTTGGGGCCATTTCCCAAGGAGCACGAAAAATAAGTCTTCAACATAATGCTTCACCATCAACCTTTTAATAAATGTCACTTAATGACCTCAGAATGATGCAAAATTCGGGATTTAAGGTTTGTGGGCCATCCAAATTCATCTGTTAGGTTCCCAGGCCTGTTAGAAGCCGATTTCTAGGGGCTCCTTTGCAATTTTTCCCTTCTAGTGCTCCACAGCTTGTGTATTATGCTCTATGGCTTGTTTCTTTAATATCTCCCTCATCCGAACCCGTTTTAAGCTGAAACTTTTTTTCTGGGGAGGGGGGGGGTGGGGTTGGGGGGGGTATGTTGGGGGTATTTAAGGCTGAGTTTGAGCGCAATTCAGGACCATTTCCATCCATCACCACGCTCCTTTATTTTCTACTCCAAAGAGGATCTGGGCGTCAACTGACTCCAAACTACATGGCCTTTATAGGACCCTCCAGCATAAAAAATGAGGGTCTCTCGAATTTGGGTCTAGAATGAATCTGTTGGGGGGCCTAACTGCCATTTTTGGTATCTACAACATTTTTCCGACACATAGACCACCAAATTCCTCTCAGAAGTGACAAACCCTATGCATCTACTATCTTCGGGCTATCTTTTATATTGGAACCACCTTCACCTCTATCTTTTAAAGATTTTTTGAGGCAAGATGATGCCCAAGTACCCGCCCTCCAGTTTCAAATGGGCCTTTTGGTGCGGTTCGCAATGTGCAGAAAATACGAGCAAACACTTGGGTCTCCCACTACCCAAAAATTCCACAAAAACAAACATGCCCTAATAGTCCTGTATTTTCATAAGTGGTTGGTTAATGCCTACATCCATTCTTCCACACCATGAATCAAGTCATGGCTCAATTTTTTTCTATGTGCTTTTTCTATATTGAAGTCATCACTTTAATTACTGGGGCATTTTGTCAAGTTTAAATTGATCCTTCCTTAAAGTTATTTTTCCTACTTTATTTTGACTGATCTAAAGTCAATCCTTGGTAAATATATTTTGCCTATGTTCCATCTTTTCAGAAAGCAGGCGTTGGGGGATAAGTTGCCATAACTAATAACCATGAAAAAATGAGTTCGGACATCTACCCAAAAAGAACAGTTGATAGTTAAAACAATTAGTCATAAATATAAGAATGAATAGAAAGAGCACAAGAGAAGTACCTGAAATTTGCTGAAAGCAATTCGTCGCTCAAATTCCTGAAGAAGAATGTCTTCTTCCCTCTGTGAAAGCTCCCATATATTTCCATCCTGAGACTTGGAAGTGCTTTCCCAGCCATCTGGCTTATTTTTTAACTCTGAAGTGCTTGGAACTTTAGAATTGTTGTATTTCTCATCGCCATGATCAAAGATCCTGCATTTTCAGGAATGATAGAGCTCATAAGAAGAAACCATCAAACTTCAAAGTTTATTAACAGTTTGACACACTTATATCAAATTCTCACTCTTGACTCAGGTCCACTTTCTAGTTTCTACAGCTTGTGGTAGCCAAGAACCCAAACATTACTGCTATAAAAGGGTACCCAAATATCACCAATTTAAATGGAAATCTAAATCTCCAATGAGAATTGTTCCTTACTCTGCTGGCTTCTACAACACCAACCTATAATTTCTTCTTATAATGGTAGAACTATTCACATATAACGTAGAAGCGAAACTTTCAGTAAGTAAATGTTTCCCCCAGTGTTTTAAAATGCGGCCGCATCGCCGCATATGCTGCCGCATTAGGCGCTATGCGTCACGCAACGCATCGCACTTTCCCTCATATGAGGTTTGGAGAGATGCACCCGCATCAGAGCCGCATCCCGCATTGACCGTATCAGGCCACATAATCTGTTTGCCATTTTTTTCAAAATTGTACCCCTCGGGAAAGGGGCAATAAGGTCATTTTGACCTTTAAAAATGGGGGGAAGGGTTTGGGAGAGTATTAAACCACCTAAACAACATTTTTCAGCCACATCCATGGCTTTACTGGATCGATTGAATCAAAAAAAAATTTGGGCGGAAATTTTATTTGTTGAAGTTCTTCAATTTGTAATACAAGATATTACAAACTAAATGTCCATAAAGATTAAAAGTTACAAATCGAAGAACTTTTCCCAATACTTTTCAAATAAAATTTGTAACTTCAAAGAGTTTCATGGACTAATACAATAAAGTTACAAATTAATGAGTTTATAAAATTTAGTGATCTTTATAAAATTTACAAATCGAAGAACTTTTCCTAGTACTTCATAGACTTCAGAGACTCTTTTCAAGATTAAAGAGTTTATAAAATTTGTAAGTTCAAAGTTTTTGGTTGCAGATTTGTGCTTATAGTTGTTGATTGTTGAATGTTTTATGAAGCTAGTTTCAAGTTTTTAGTTTCTATCAAGAGATAGTGGATACAAAATCTCTGACAACTAATACTTTTGGAATTAATCAATAATCTTAATACTTACTATCACATATATCACCTCCATATTTTTTTTTATGCATTAACCTTTTTTTTAGATTTTTTATAATTTTTTTATATTTATGAACCTCATCGCCACGATGCACCGCATCTAGACCGCATCGAGCCGCATTGCCGCATGAACCCCCCCAACGCTTCTGGCCGCATCCCGCATTTTAAAAAACTGGTTTCCTCCCTCACTTCTACAACTCACAACTTCTTGCCTTTCGAACAACACATACGTAAATCAGAAACAGACAGACTGGATGAGAATCACTCTTTTGAGCCTGGTCCAGGTTCAGGTTTTGGATTCCACGGACTCAACCTACAAACTTGACCACTCACCGTGCAGAAAGAAATAACAAAAATTGCTATGCATGACTAAAATTACTTTGCATTTACACAAATGGAGAAGTATTTGGCGAGTCAACTGACTCATGTGTCCACCATGGTTCTCGACGGACTTAGGAGCCAAAAGCACATTCCAAAGTTCTGTAAATCCATTCTGCCTCAGATCCATGAATTTGGAGCTCCAAAATCAGTGCAGATCCGATAATCTTCAGAGAATCCATGAATTTGGAGCTCCAAAATCAGTGCAGATCCGATAATCTTTAGAGAATTAAAATGAAGAGTCTATAAACAAAGGTACAAACTAACCCCTTTGCAAAGATCAAATTCATTTTTTATTTCAGTTCATGATCGTGGTGGTCTAGGTGATAGACTTGCAAAATTTTGAACCCAAAATCCATCTCCAAGATGGATCATGGGAGGATGAACTCACTGTAACAGGTGCATCCCAGATGCACCTAAACCTACCCTATAAGAATTTATCAAGACCCAAATGCATTAATCATAGTTTCAGTAACCAGAATAAAAAAATCGATATGCGTTCTATAGTCAAAACTAATAATTCACATATTTCAGTAACAGATACATTTTAATGTCTCTATACGTGTTGCCCATTTGAAGCACAAAACATTCTTCAATGTTGGCAAAATGCACTAAAAAAATTTGTTCCATGTTGGCAAAATGCTAACTAAATGACAGCAACTTGATACAGTAGTTTAGTGCCAGATGGGATAGAAACAAGCACAAATCAACTAGTTGGCTCTAAGTATTGTTCAGTTCAATTTTGATATGTAGAGGCTTCTTTGCATTTGCAAGAAAACCAAATGCGCAATTTCTTGATTATAGAAATTTTCCATGCATATTATTTTATTCATGCATAAATGTTAAACATTTATAAAAGACAGATTAAGAGAGAGAGACCAATTGCTCTCAGAGAGAGAGAGAGTCCAAAACCTCAAAATCATTAACAAAAACTAAGCAAAAAGGCTTGCTCAGAGAAACTATCAAGCAATCTCTCAATATCATTCGCCTCTAAGAAACAAACTAAGAGAGAGAGAATCTAAAACTTCAAAAACGATTCCCTAAAAAAGAACAGAAAAAAGAGCAAAGTCGTACTCAGAGCAACTATCAAGCAATCTCTCAATATCATTCCCTTGTGTTCCCCCCAACTTCGCCTCCTCCTCCTTCTCTATTTCCTTCGTCCAAAGAGAAGCATGAATTCTCTGTTTCTTCAACCTATAATCCTTGGCCAAATTCTCCACACTGTAAAGGCCGGAATCCTCTTTATTCGTCTGAAAATCACCAGATTTTTTGCCAAGCTCTGACTTTTGGCCAGAATTTCTCTTTGCTGATCGCCTCTCATTCCAATTTTCATTCATCTCTTCAAGAAAAGCTTTAGTTTCAGAATCAGTTTCTACGGGAAGAGGAGTTGGTGGATTTGTGAAGCTTACATCTGTTTCCCATGGTGCTCTGGTTTTTGCAGAGACATTTTCAGGAAGCCATGCCGCTTCCCATGCTTCATTCCATTCTTCCTCTCCATTGTTGGGATCTGAAGCTCTCGTAAACTTTGTTCTGAAATGGCTTGGACAGAGAAATAGAGAAAATAGCTGATTTTTGCCATTGTTGAACTCTGAAACTCTGGTAATCTTTGTCCTGAAATGGTTCAGAGAGAGACACCGAGAAAAAATTGGGAGATTCAGTGAAGAAGCTCGTCTAAGACACTGCATTCTAGGGTTTAAGTGAGACCGGCAAAAATCAACTGAGTAGCCTTGGAATTTCAAGAAATATTGAAAACAGCGGTCGATTTACATTTGCAGAACAGATTATGAAAGGGTAGAAAGAAATAAGTAGGAGATTTTGAGGGGATTACTTTCTGATCATGAAAAGTTGCGGAGAGGTGTTAATTAAAAGGAATTCATTAAAACCACTAAACCAAGGTTGAAACTTTACGAGCAAATGATCACAAAAATGATAAACGATTATTCCATCACAACTTCATAAGAGAGAAAAGCAATGCGTTCAAGAGAATTAAGACCCTGGGTTTATCAAGAATTACTAGGGTTTGTTGCGTTGCAGAGGGGGGTTTATCGAGAATATCTAAGGTTTTTGGGTTGCATAAAAGGCCGCACGAGCCCGCGTACTCGAGAGTAAGGAGTCTTTTGGCCCCATTTATATAGAGGTGCGGTTTGTGTGGAGCCTCGGCTCTAACCAATCACATTTGAGCCTACCTTCGTATACCGTCGAGAAATGTGGTTGAAAATTTATGTGATAGCCTTAAAATATATTTTCATTTTTATTTATAAAGTTTAAAGTTCTACCGTAAGAGAATGAGGTTTCAATACTGAAAACTTTTGTGATAGTTTTAAAATATATTTTCATCTTTATTTATAAAATTTAAAGTTTTAAAAAGTAGTGTAGATCGACCGATCTAATAAAACTTGAAAATCTTAAAACTTGACGGTCTAAAAATGCGTTACAAAATACACTATATCTAAAACTTTAAATCCATTTTTTTTCTCATGTTCATGCATCCTGATGTTGAGATGACCGATTTGAGGATATTTGGACATCAAAACAACCTCTTCTAGTTAATTTTTTGAAGTAGGGTCTAATTTGATTATTTAGAGCCTCGACTCTATATAAACTATTTTGAACTACGGTTTGTAAGGAGCCAAGGCTTAAAGTCTAAACAATCAAAGTAAAACGCACCTTCAAATAGGGTAGAAATATAGTTTTAATACTGAAAATTTTTGTAATAGCCTTAAAATATATTTTTATTTTTAATTATCTATACTAAATTATTAAACAAAAGTTAAGAGGTGGAGCAAGAATAAAAAAAAAAAGGACCCTATGGTGAAAGTAAAGATAAGGTAAAGAGTTCTAGCATTAGGTTATAGTACTTAGGGACTATGGTACAAAAATATAAAAAAAATCCCTAATTTTATGCACTTAGATAAGCTTTCCATGGTCGAATGGATTCCTCTATTTCTAAAATAAGGTAACGAATGATAAAAGGTCTTCAATTTTTTAAAATAAATCCATAGGCACTTACCCAAAAAAAAAACTCTTATATAGACCCTTTTTCTTTTTCTTTCCCATGCTTTAAAAACGTGATATTGATATTAGTAGATATATATTTTGTAGTACGAGAGAGAGAGAGATCAATCTTTGGGAAAAGAGATGCTTCATAAGTGAGAGGTAGGTTTACCTTCATAATGTGATGAGAATCGAGGGAAGACCAGATGGACCTGAGGGAAGAAGAGGTGGAGGTGAGGAAAGAGCAGGTGGAGGTATATATGTGATTAATACCCATAGATAAACTGTTGATTGGTTCTGAATTGCTTTGGTTTACCTCTTCTTCCATTAAACCACAATGTACAAGTCCATTAAATGTATTCTTCCTGCATTTTCAAGTCATTGTTTTTCATTCTTCAGGGTTATTGATGAGGAAGCACTTGAACAAGCAGCCGTGACATGAACAATCTTGGCTGGTGCTGGTCCACAATGGTCTCGAGTGCTGGCTACTCTATACAATATATGTTTGATACTTTAGGGTACGTTCAGTTCGTACAAATATATTTTATGGGAAATATTTTACATCTGTCAATACTTTACCTGTATAAATATTTGCATGTGCATTCTTCTTATCATGTTTGGTAGCACATTTAAAAAGCACCGTGTAAACACTTTCATATGTTTGATAGTGCTTGGTTGGTGTGAAAATATTTACACAAAACCTAGAATAGATATGTATATTATATATAAATGTAATAAGTATATATTATATGATATTTTATAAATAATAATATATATTATTATAAATTTTATAAATATATTATATTACCTATATATAAATACTATATTATAATATAATATAAATATTATATGTTATAATGTACTTTATATTTATTATTATATCTATAATATATAATATATATGTATAATAAATAATATAATATATATAATAAATATTATACATATAATATTATATATATTTATATATATTATTGTATTTTTATATTTATATAATATGTATAATATATTTATGTATTGAATTATAATATTATATATTATCTAATGTTACATAATATAGTAAAACATAAAATAATATATTATTCATATAAAATATTATATGTTAATTATTATTGAAATATAAGTTATATAGAACATTGTAAATAATACATAGTGAATAATGAATAGTGGATCTATGTGGGACAACAAACGCACATAGAATGTTTTTCTACCCCAATAGGTGTGGTTTTATTTTATCATGAATTAGACCATTTCATGGTAAAAAATTCTATCATGATACTTTATTTGCATATGGGTTTGCACGAACCAAACATGTGAAATAAGATTTACATATGTAAATATTTCTCAGGGAATATTTACGCGCGAACCAAACGTACCGTTAGAGATAGATATAACCATGCAAATGTTGCCCTTTGTACCGTACTAGCCTAATTATGTATTACTTGAGGCTGTCTTAATTGGCTCTGTTTGATACGTTACGCGCATATTGTTGTTATAATATAATGGTACTAATATTTGAAATCGAATGGAAAACCAGGCAAAGTAAAAGCGATAATTATAGTAAAACACTAAAATACAAAACCGCTATGAAGTGATTATCCCAGTGGTTCATGACAGTGGTGCCAATGGCATATTAGGGGATTTAATAATCATATTTTTCTCTCGTGGAAAATAAGTTAGAATGCATATTAATTCAAACATCTATTGTCCTCGCATGAAGGCTCTTAGCAGAAACATTCAAACAATAGAGAGCATGGCTGAAGAGCACATCAATGCAACTAGGGACAGGTGATGGGTCTATTTATATTTAACCGCTGGTAGCAGTGTGCACATGAGTGTTGGTGGCCTTTGGGCCACCAATGTATGTTGCGCCAATGGCTACGCCCTTGGCATGGCCGAGAAATGGGGAGTTAGGGGCCCGAGGTTCCCTCCTAGACCCGAGTTGGGCATTAGCCGGTGCAGGTGGTCGGACCACTTCACAAGAGGAAAGCAGGAGGCACGGGCAGGCTAAAGACTTGGCTCCCAAAAGATGAAACTCCAGGTATGGGGATCGTGAAATCCCCAACCTGGATGTTGAAGTTTTGAAACTCCGAAACCATATTGTTGAGCGTGATAGTGGTAAGGTTCGTATATGTTAGAAGCATCATTGGTTATGGATTGTGTATTTGCACTTGAATGCTCTTGAAACTCTCATGGATAGAGTTTATATAATTATTTATGTAAATACTTATTGTATATTATGTATCCTCCATTGCATATTCACATGTTCATCTACTTGATTGTTTATTTCATTCTACGTACAACACATGTAATTCCACTAGTGAAATTTAAAAGCTTTAAAAATAGTGTAGATTGAGTGGATCTATGAAACTTAAAAATCTTAAAAATTGAAGGTTCTCTTACAAGATGCACTATTTTCAAAACTTGAAATCTATTGTTTTTTCATGTCTTGCATCTTGATGTCTAGTGAAATTTTTGAAGTGGGCTCTAATTTGATTCTTTAGAGCCTCGGCTCTATGTAAAATTTTTCCTTCATACAGTAAGCGCGAGCATTTGAAAACCCGAACGTGGGTACGGCTACTGCAACGGGTATTGCCAGCAACGAGTCGGCTCGAGCTCGGGTTGGGAATGCGGTTGTGTCTAGGTCGACTCCAACCTAACTAAGTTTAAGTTCGTCTTGGACCCAGCACGTACCAGGGTCAGGTCCAGGTCAATTGAACCATACCCAACATATCAAGTCGGATTGGTTAGGATCCAGGTCTATGAATAAAACATATATAAAAAATTATTTTACGTATTATAATTATATATCACATTATTTATAATTATGTTATAATAATATATATGGGTAAGGTCGAAGCGAATCCGACCAAATAGGATCCAAGCTGAACTCGGACCCAAACTCAACCTGGGTTCAGTCAAGATCAAGGGAACTCGGACCCAACCTGTCGGATCCATTTTCTAAGTCCTTGCTCAGACCTGGCGGGGTACACCCATTGGGTGCCTGAGTCAACCCGACCCATTTCCCACACCTAGACAGTCCTGACTCATACCTGGCTGGGTAGACCAATCGGGTGCATGAATCAACCCGACCCATTTCCCACACCTAGACCGGGCCAGTGCCTAGTCAACGCACATGAATTTAGGCAAATTGCCAGAAAGTATGAAAATTATTTAATGAATCTCAAGGATCATACATAAATGGTCGTGGGGCTCAAGATTGATGAAATAGTGCTCAAATTGTCATAAACCATTAAAAATCGAGAATCTATCCCCGAAACTCAAGAGACTTGGCTAGTGTACTGTAAAAAGAATCCGCTGGTTCAATTCAATCCTCGGAAATTACCGAGTTCAAAGTCGATACCAGGCTGAATCGAACAATTTCAAGTTGACCCACTTATTTTTCAAATTATGGTGCGGCTAACCTACCCAATTTGTAATTATCACTTTAAAGTATAATAATATACAACGAAACTTTACTTTTAGTCAAGGATTTGTGTAGCCAACCCAATTAGTTGAAAAAAGATTGTAATAATGATGATGATATGTTAGTCATAAACACACCAAAGTAATCAATGTAAAATCAGACAACAGTTTAGCCAAAAAACACCAAAGTAATCAATGTAAAATCAGACAAAAATTCAGCCAAAAAAATAACTTTCAGCTAATCAGTGCAACTTGATTTCATTATTTGATACTTGATGGTGAGGGGTATATGAAGTTTCTAGCCGCATGTTTTTATATCTGACGATTAGGGGTGTCTGTTACTTTGATAGGGTGATGTTTGGATAAGGTTGCAACCTTAAAAAACCGAAGTAAAGTACACCTCCACCATTTGTCATAATATCCAATTTTGGTGTTGAAAATCTTTAGGATGGCCTGATAATCTATTTCGACTCTAATTATAAAATTTTAAACTTCAAAAATGGCTTAAATCAAGCATATCTATAAACACATGAAGATTTTGAAAATGGACAGCCCAAATAATATGTTTCAACACATGAAATCTTGAAAAAAGACGGCCCAGATGATATATTTCAAGATGTTATATTTTTTGGACTTGAAATTTTCTTTTCTTTTTTTTTCCCCCTATATCCATACATATCAATGTCCATATGATCAATTAGATGGTTTTCCAATGTCAATAGAGCTTTGAGGTGCACCTTAATTCTATAATTTAAGTACCCAAAGATAAGTAATTTTATGGTATATTTTCTCCTACTTTAATTCTTGTCAACGATGTAGTCCTATGAATGATATATTCCAAGTTTCTAACAATGCTCCCTGGCTAAGGTAATGTTAGTAGCAGCAGCATTGGTACCAAAATATGCCTATTATGCATATACAGTATTTTTTTATTTTTTTGGCAGAGAAAGAATACAATAAGATTATTGACAGTATAAGGTCACAATCATTCTTAATTATAAGATGAGAAATAGGATGGCTGAAGGTGTACCACTCCCAAAGTCAAAAATTCAAAAAATATTCTCGATCCATACAACATACCCAAAGCTCTCAAATTTCACATCTAACAGTTAGCAATGATAATGACATTCTTGTACCAATAGTAAATGAGCATGTAGTACACATTCTCTTCATGAAGAGGCCCATATTTTGTGCGGTGTGCATGTAGGATACTGCAACAAGAGCATAAACATATCCCTTGAGCAAATGACCTTAAGCCTTTTAAAAGAATTTTCTTGATCTGAAATCTTCAAATCAGCTGAAACAAAATTCTACATTTACTCCCTCAAGCATAGGACTTTCTAAAAGGAACTTTCTTGCCTTCAAATTTTGGTATCAGCTTAAGTTCCTTCACAGATGAGTATATATACAAACCAAAACCAAGTTGATCTTTGGGAACCTAAACACCTATATCACACCATCCAAAGATCGAATGGTCAGTGCACAATGCTAGGTTCTACGCTACGTTCAACAAAGCCCATCCCCAGGCTTTCGGTGCTACGCCTGGCTAGGGTTTTGCCCCAGGGAGCAAATGCACATTTTGCTCCTGCGGGAGCACATAGTCTTCCCGGTTTTGTCCAAGCACATGATTGCCTCTTAGAATTATTCTCTGCGCGCATGGGATTTGAATAAAAAAGTTCAAAAAAAATCCCTGAATTTCCTCTAAGAATTATCATTTGAAATTGCAAGCCAGGGCCTACCTTGAAGAGTTCTAGAACACATTGATATGGTTCAAACTTCAATCTCTCAGTTTCTCTTCAAAATTTTCATAATAGAAAATAGAAGGGATGGAAAAAGTAAAAAAGAAAAGAAAAAAGAAAGAATGAAAGAAATTCGAAATTCTCTGCAACATTGACAATAAAAATAATCCCAATTTGCAAACCAGTCCACTCAAATTTCATCCAAACTATAGATGCAGCTGCATGCTAATGTAGTTAGAGAAAGGCAGGCAAAAGGCAGGCAATGCAATAAGCACCTTACTTTCTCTTTCGTCCTTCAGAATTCTTTTAAGAAGAAGTTTAGTCCATGGTCTGTACACACCACTGTCAAGTTCGTGGACATGGTGCAGGAGGGAAAAGGAAGGGCTTCACTGATCATGTGTTGCCCCTGAACCTTCTGTAAACAGAAAAAAATTTACAAAGTCACTGCTTCGTTAGTTGTATCATTCTAACACTACCTTTTTTTTTCCTCACTCTTTTTCATGGTTAATCATTCTCACAGTACTCAATCGCCTTTTGGAAGCGAATCCTCGGAGTTGTATCCACCTCTCTCAACCACACAAAGCGATTGGCTTAGTAGTTCCTGAGCCTCGGCAATAGCTAATTCTCTATTGTCTGAAGCATATAGTATCTTTTTTATAGCCACCACCACCTATGCATGCCATCGTTGATATACATGAAAACAAAAAGCAACAAATAAGACATGAAACATGATCGGTTCGCAAAAAAAAACAAATTTTTTTTTGCAATGTTTGCTTAACTCTCACAGTAAGTCTATAGTGACATGTGAAGTCTCATGTTAAACTATTTGTTAACAAAGGTTTTTCTTTTTTGGTGCATTAATAGTAGGCAACATGTTTGACCAATAAGTCAGCGTGTTGCACTAACTGTGCATGTGTTTTTCAACTGCAAGATTCCACTAACTCTTTCGCAAGCTAACCATAGAAATTGAAAGAGAAAAGTTAAAAAAGAGGATGAATAGAAACAAAAGTTGCTCCAACTCAAGAGTCAGGGCTATGAAACTTAAAAGTATCGCAAACTTTAAGCCAGGAACATCACACTACAAAATTTTAGAAGCAAACGAACACTTACAGGTAGATTCTCCAACTCAGAGGTTTGGCAAAGAATTTCAATGTCACGTAATTTTCCAAAGTAAAAATCTCTCTCTTTCTCTAAATGGTCCATAGAAAGCTTGAGATCTGCAATCTGCACAATTTCACCAGCAGTGCATTGCTTAATTCAAAATGATGGGTGAATAGGGTGCATTCTAATTTGTAAGCATATCATTAGCTTCCTACACCACGTGCAACCAAAACTTATCCTCTTCAAGCTTAATGTTACACAGCTAGGACCCAAATTTCTCAATAAAAGAGCAATGCTGAGTATTATAAAAATTACAGTTCACAAATTGAGAGCGAAACAGTTATTGGAGCATCATTCAGACCAGATTACCTTCACTAAAAATGCTACCTGTAAAAGTATACCCTAGTCCAATGGACTACATCACCGTCCAATAAAATGAGGGACAGTGGTGCGCAGAGAGAATGGGACACACCAGAAGAGTACATACCACAATGATGACCCCCCACTCCCTCTCCATCACTGTCCATCATTACATTGCATGTTTATGATGTATCTTCTATTGGGTTCCCCTAAAGTTACAGACAAGTAAATAAATAATTGTGTGGAAAAGCAAAGTCAATTAATGAAGCCTTCAAATACACTTGCCTGCTCAGACATCGCCTGGATCGTTCCTGTAGCATTTACTGCACCTGAAGCAGTAGAAACTTTTCCTTGCTTTGTCCGTCCCACTGAAGCAATTGCAAAAATAATTAAGTACAAATATTCCAAAATGGAAAGTATATTATAGCCCAAAGGTCTATGGAAACCATAGTGCATTGGATGATGATGAAAAGAGAGTGGAACCCAGCATTGGGGTCATGTCCTGCTCTAATGGGTACCATTCTCTATCCTTAGTGACCAGCAGTTTCATCAAATTTGGATGATCCAATGGACTATGGTTTTAGCCAACTGGAGTATAGGATACATTTTCAACATCTAGAAGCATTAATATTCCGAACGCTAGAAGCAAACCCGAAGTGTTCACACCCGAATTGTCTACACCACCGACAGTGGATAAGCTGTTTGTTAGCAAGGAGTTTGAACTTTTGTTAGAACCTTTGGTAAAATTTGATGCTCCCTTTCGCTCCTTGGTCCCTTTGCATCTTCTCTCCACAGGATTGTAGTTCCTAGGACCAAGAAACTGTTCTTAGGATCTCCCACATGCCTAGCTATCAGATTACTAAAAACTCATGTGCTTTTTGATAGAAATCATTAAATAAATCCAAATCTTGTTAGGCTTAGAAGGTCTTAATACCAAGTAAAAAGAATAAAGTCTTTCAAATATTATAGCTGCTAACGAGCTAAGCAAAACACATCTTTAACTGATGAATTTGACTTTATCTACAACTATTATGAACAACTCAGGGTCCTGAGTAAATGAGCATTTTTTCAGAAGGGAACGAGTAAGCTGCACCTTCTTGTGACTATTTTGACATATCCTTCTTACCACTACCTGTAGAAGGCAGCAAGCACTACCGACCTTGAATGCAAAGAGATGACCATTACCATCAGGAAACAAAATATAATGGAGAAGAACATACTCATTCATAATACCACCATTTACTGAATCACAGTAACGCTTTAGCCATTGTAGGAATTCCAAGTTGTCCAAAGGCCGCCCTTTAACAAGCTTGTTGACTTCTATGTGCTAAGCCACCCAACAAAAAGAGAAGTCAGCTAAAAGGAATAGTTCACAGAAAATTTAGGAGAAACGACATGACCAAGATCAGATACCTTCTACAAATAATTTTAAGTAGAATAGTTATATAGCATTATTGTTGTCACTAAAAGTAATTGTAACCCAGAACAACATGAGTCCAACAAAGCTTGACGAGTTTATAGAATTCTTTCATATTTCTTACTAAATCCGCCTGCTCGTGCACCATCCACCATTATTACTTAAGCTGTCAAAGAAAGCAGCTTAAAGATCATAAAGGAACACCTTTAACAACACTAGAAACCGAATGAATGAATTCTATAGAAGAAGAAAAAAGTTTTCTGATCGAATTTTTTTAAGGGATGAAAATCAGACCAAAGAGAATACCTTCTCTATCTTTAACTTGGTGAAAACTTCCTGCAGCAATTTGTAGTTTTGGATCATATCATACTCCGTCTTTGTATCGAAGTTTACCTGGAAAAATGAGTAGTATGCTAACTTTAATTAGAAACTAAGGCTCCTCAAGGCCAAATTCACTAAAATGAAATTAAACTCAGAAGAGAGCAGTTCACAAACCTTGTGCATGGGTACAATTCCTGGATGGATCATGTCCATCATTTGGCATTGGACAGCACCAGAGGCAGCCTGCTCAAAAACAACAACCATGCTCATTCAAAGACAATTATTGAAGTCCATGAGTGTGTATAATTTGGAATCTGAAAGATTAGTCAAGTTTCTTAAAACACAGATTCAGGCTTTGGATCAGCCCTCCAATGAACCAATCCGGATCAGCCAAATCTGGAGAACATATTAATGAAAAATAAAAATGGGCAGAATCATGCTATTCTAGGGGCCGTATACCCAGATCACCCACCCACCGAACCCAACCCGGATTTGGCGAGCACAAACTGACCACGTTTCTTAAAACCTTGGGTTAGTCACAAACCAAAACTATGGACACCTGAGTACCACTTAAGTTCTTTCCACAGATTGCAATGCCTAAAACCCTAAGCAAAATACAAGAGGCACAAGATCTTTAAATACAAACTTGTTAATAAAACTTCACATGCACACACCAACGTAAAATGTAGAAAACTTTTTAACTAGCAATGGAGGTCAAGATCACAGAAGAGAAGGAGACGTGGTAAGATTTAAAAAGTCACAACTCTTCATTTAAATGCAGAAAGGATCTAGAACATTTGCATAAAATATTTAAGGCTGATGAAATTCCTATTTGTTATCCTCCATACACCCCTTCTCTAGTACTCTAACCCAAAGACTGCATCTTGATTGACCTTCCCTTATTACATGACAGAAAGGGAAGAGAAATCCAATTGCTTGCTAAACTCTTACATCTAGTACCACTTGATCATGGCATTCTACTGTTAAAGGCTTAGATATCTTTCAGAAATTAGGCATACATATCTTAATTTGTGTGCAAGCAAGTATCAGTAACCTTAAGCATGTGCAAACAAATGCAAGTCGGGAAAGGTGTATGTGAACTGGTTCAAGATTCCATTAATTCAGAAAAAATACCACCCACATATTGTACCTACCCAAAAATACTAAATATATAAACAGAAAAGGAGAAAAAGAAATACGCAAGTGATGATAGATCAACATTTAGAAATATCACAGCAATTGAACCCTATTACTACAATAATGTGAACCATTGACTAAATTCATAAATGGAAAAGGCGAAATGAAACTACAAATTCTGAATAAGATGCATGCTTTAAACGCATACATGCATCACCCTTTTCAGTTCCATGTTAACAAATACAGCACGCCATGGACTTGAATTTCAATCTAAAATTCAATAACTGAAACATGTAGACTCCAGGATTTGATCCTTCTCCAGAAAAATAGTTATAATAAAAAGAAGAATTTCATGAAATTTCACAGACTAACCGATTAGGGTGCTTTCAATTTTATTCTCAGAAAATCATACTCATACTGTAAACTTAGTTTTCTTAAAACAGTTCATTCAATGCTAAAAACTTAGCACTAACACTGCTTCAAACCTTGCCCAAATTTCAGTAAGCAATACCTTTGAAACTGTCCTAAATGAGACATGTGGTTAAATAATGTGGCAATGCCTCTTCAAGCACCTAAGAGCACTCACATCATTCTTCCAATCCCTTACAAGAAATGTTCTTTCTCTTCACTTGAATAATAGATACATGCATATGAACTAATATAGAGAGAAAATAAGGCAGAAAGAGGGGATTTTGGAGCCAATGGAAAAAAAGAGGAAAACTCCCCATTGACAAATGGAATCAAAACTAAAAGAAAAATATCAGACCTTCATTTGAAGTTTCACCAAATTTTAGCTTCTTTTTTGCCTAGTCGAGTCAAATTTAACCAAATTCCCAACTAAATTCAGAAATTCTGTCGATGATTTGGCGGAACCCTACCAATAATTCCATTAGGTAAAACAAAAAATGAAACAAACATGACCATATCTACCAAAGATTGAAATAAAACACCCCAAATTCAGCCTAAAACAACTAACCGCAGATCTCACCACTTCCACCAAAATCAAAGCAAACCAATATCTTAAGCAATGTTAGAAAACGTGCATTTTCTTCTGGTGAGACTAAATGCAATATTTATATAAAGTAAAAGAATAACGAATTGCCTTATATAAAGTAAAAGAATAACGAATGACCTTCATCTGAAGTTTCACCAAATTTTAGCTTCTTTTTTGCCTACTTGAGTCAATTTTAACCAAATTCCCAACTAAATTCAGAAATTCTGTCGATGATTTGGCGGAACCCTACCAATAATTCCATTAGGTAAAACAAAAAATGAAACAACCAACCGCAGATCTCACCACTTCCACCAAAATCTAAGCAAACCAATATCTTAAGCAATGTTAGAAAACATGCATTTTCTTCTGGTGAGACTAAATGCAATATTTATATAAAGTAAAAGAATAACGAATTGCCTTATTATGGTTCATGCAGATGTGCATCATAATGTAAAATATGATCATGCCCAGTCTGTTCTATTTAATCCCATGTTAACAAGCATCTCATACCAGTGTTTAGGGCCAGGCCCTTGACAGATGCGAGTTACTCGGCCACAGCCTGTACAAGGCCAAAAATCCCTAAAAACTTTTTAAAAAATAATACCAACTATGAAAAAATAAAGGTATTAAAAGTAAAATAAAAACAAAAGCAACCTTAAAAAGTCCAAATAGGCTTAAAAATGTATAGAAAAAAATGGATTTAAAAAAAAATGATTTACATAGTTGGAGACAGGTTCAAAAAAATCCAAAACAAATGAAATATTAAAATAGGGATTATCGCAACAAAACAAACACCAAATCATGCCGAAAACATCCAAACCATCTACAAAAAAATTATACAACACACACACAACATATTTTTTGGAGTTTTTGAAATTTTTATGTGCCTTGAGTTGTACACACAACTTGCTGTAACTCAGCCTAGCCAAGGTCGAGTTTCTCGCCCGAGTCTGTGTGGACTTGGGTGAGTCCCATAACACTGTCTCATACCATGGACATGAGTTTCAATCCCAAATCCAATAAACATTTAAACCAAAAAACCTAATCCTTGTCAAATATCCTATAGTCGTAGAATAAAATTATTTTTCATGAAATTCAATATATAAACAAAATCAACATCAATTGTGAGTTCAGAATGACTAAACTAAGCCTACATTACATGCACAGACAGGTTCTTTCCTATTTTCCAAAACCATACTCACATTTGATGATAAACTTAGTTTTCTTAAAAATTTGCATTAAAGAACAACAAGTTAGCACAAGAACTAGTTCTAATCCTTCCCATATTTCGCTGAGCAACCAAATTCTCTCATTCTATGTCAAAATTTCATAAAAACCTACAACGAAAGCAACATTTACCCCGTCTATTTGAGCACCAAAGATGGGGCGCTCATAGTAATCTATAAGAATGCCATGCTTCTAATCCTATACAAGACACATCCACGTCCTCCACTTTAGTAAAATGCAAATGCATACGAAGAAACAACGAGAGAAAAATTGGATGGTAGAGAGGGAAAACATTGTAGTAAAAGGAGGCAAATAAGGCAAAACAAATGAAATTTGCACTTACAAAAAAAAAAAGTCCAATTTTTTACCAAAATGGGCATTCGTTTTTCTTAATTGAGTCAATAAATCAACTTAAATCCCAGATAAATTCGGTCCATGATTTGGCTTAACTCTTCAGAAAACTCAATGAAATAAAGAGAAAAATGAAAATTCAACAATGTTCTCAAAATTTGACCCAAATGCACAAAATCAATAACCAAACCAAAATTTCAATAAACGTAGAGAAATCAAACCTCTTCAACTTTGGTGAGACTAAGCTGGAGTGTGGCATTAATCCATGCCAAAATCTCGTTTCTTCCAACAAAGTACGCTCCATCCATCATACCAATGCTTGCCAAAGCTGATGAAGCCCTTTCCTCTGCAAATTTCCAGAGAATTTTGCATAGAACCCACGATTCTCTCAGAGAGAGAAAGAAAACTAGAAAGAGGAGAGAGAGAGAGTAAAAAGTAAAAGGAGACCGAAAGTCGAAATGTGGAAGCAATCTTGTGACACAGGGGAACAGTTGAGAGGGCGTGAGGGCCCTTACAGGGTTTTAGTGGGAGAAAGAGGGGACAAAAAAATTTAGGGTTTTCATGGAAATGCAGAGAGAGAATAAGAAGAGATGGAGATAGAGCGCATTACCTTCTTCCGACGAGTGTTCAGAATAAGTGCGCTTTTATTTACACAGGCGTGCCAATAAACTTTGAAATTTGAATACATAAATAATACACAACATTAAATATATAGAGCGAGGAGTTAAATAAATTGGCTTTGGAAAGGGACACGTTTTATTAACAACTTAGGGAGAATGACCATAATAATCAAGGGTGGGGTGCGGTTTCTATAGGGTTGCAGCCTTAAATAATAATCAAGTGTGGGGTGCGGTTTCTATAGGGTTGCAACCTTAAACAATCCAATTATGACGCACCTTAAAATTTTATAATAAGATGTAAATTTATTGTAAAACATTCATAATATTATTTTAAAATCTATTTTCATACTTAATTAGAAAATTTTAAATTTCAAAAATAGTTAAAATCAAGTAAATCTATAAATATATAAAAATCTTGAAAATGGACGGCCTAGATAATTATTGCGAGATGCACTATTTTTTAGACTCAAAAACTTTTTCTTTTCATATTCATACATTTTAATGTCGAGATGATCGACTAGAGTGTTTTGTCAACATTAAAACAATATTTTCGATATATTTTTAATGTGCATCTTTGATTCTACATTTTAAAGTTGCAATCTTATATAAACTTTTCCCAATAATCAATGTTATCAACTTCGCCTCGCTTCGGCTTGTTTCGAGCCAATTCGGCCTCTTGGCCGTAGCTTCGGCCGAAGCCCATAATTTTTTTTAAAAAATACAATTATGTACTTTGGTCTGATTCTAAATCTTTGGTAGAACACATAATTGTATTTTTTATTGTAATTATTTTATGTTTTTAAAAAAATATATTATTTACATATATTTTTATATATAAATATGTACTTTATTTATATTACATTTTAAAAAAAAACTGAAATCTTCCTCCAAATCATCCAAAGCACCGAATTGCTTCATTTTTTCCACCAAACCGAATAAGGCTACGAAGCAAATTTGACAACACTGATAATAATTACTACAAATAGTTAGTATAGTTTGATTTAATGAGTAAAAGAATAATTAGAAATTTTACTATGCATTTCTACCCATGTATGGTTTATGTGTGTAAAAATCACAAGCTTTCAGCTTTAGGGGTTGAGAGCAGCGGTTTAAAAAACGGATCGATGCCCTGAATCGGGCACTCCAAAAAACCCATCCGGATTGGTGAATCGGCAGTTCAGATCGGGAATCGGCTGAATTTGTTGGATTCGATAACAACAAATTCAAAAAAATTATTAAAAATCATTATAAATGTTTTCTTTAGGAATCCAATAAAAAATAGGGTATTACATTATTACCTTTCATTTTTTTTCATCAATATGCGAATATTGAGATGTTCTTTTCTTGTATTAAGTCTAGATATATGTATAACTATTAATGATAATATAGTATTATAATATTACATCAAAACAATTTTAAAATATTAGAAAATATTTCCATATAATTTAATTGCATCACACCTAAGTAGATAGGGGATAACGTCATTGGTTGTCAAGTGGGGTGGGGGGGTACATTAAACATACTTTTTAGTAGAAAAAATAGTACGGACGCCCGTTATGTGTCGTCAACAGGTGACCCCGTGACATGAACTCGACGATTCAAGATCGAGAATCGGCCAGATCCTGTTTTATGAGTGGTTCCGACACGGTCTAGACGATTCCCGATCCGAACCGGGTGGCAGATTTTTAAAACACTGGTTGAGAGTGAATAGAACATTGGGCACAGGAGAGTGAATAGAACGTTGGGTCACGTAGAGCACTGGGTCACAATTTTTGTCAACTGTATTTGTTATGTCATGATAAATGCATAAAGTTGTTGTAAGCTTGCTTCCAATTGTCCCTCGATCGATACTAATATGTAATATTATTGTCAATTTACTATCAACCACTTTTTAATATACGTAGAGACAAGAAAGTTCATCTGAATATTATAGGCAAGTTTTATCTGCCTATAGACCTATTTATTACGTCTATGGGTAGGGATTCTACAATTATTTGATCTTGCTCAGACTGGCAGTGGCTTGAATAATGGCATGTATAACTTTGGCCTGACAAAATAGTTGATGCTCCTACCATTACAGTCAATGATATCTCTGGTTTACTTATGGCTCTTGGATCTATATCAAATTGCTAAGTGCACAAATGTGGAAAAGGTATAGTATGTAGCAAATTGTATATACTGAGTTTGAGACTTTTACATTTTGTAGACAAATGTCGTATATACTCTTTAGTTATTGTTGTAAAATTGGATGGTTTGGTTGAGTCACTTCTCTACTCAAAATAAAAAGAATTTTTTTTAGTGTGATAAAAGGTATAGATCCTACCATTTGATTTCATATCCGACAAGAATAAGATATTACGTTTTATATCAAAATCACAGATAAACAATCTGGTTGCATACTTTCCCTTGGGTAGTTTCCACTTTTAAATGTATATATTTAAAAAGAAGCCAATGAAGAAATCATACTAAGGGCCCTTTTTCTGCTAGTTATGTGCTCATCTTGCATGGAAACTCAAAAGGTAAAACCTTGGAGTTTTGCATCTTCATTGATCATCTCTTATAGAGATCAATAGGGGCTAAGGTTTGTGTTTCCCCTAGATGGAAAACCATGTGAAGAAGTTAAGGTTGATATATGGTTTGAGGTGAAAAACTATGGAGCTAAAGTATATGTTAAAATTCTATAGTAAGAGTAAAGAAAAAAACATGTATATAATGAGACCATTTACTTTTGATACAAAGACCTCACGATCATTATTGACCATTAGATTTGAAATCTGAAGACAGAAGATGTGGCATTGTTTGGGCAAAATCTGAAGACAGAGGATGTGGCATTGTTTGGGCACAAAGTCGAAAATAAAATGTTTCAAATGTTGTGACACACTTTTAAAGGAACAACCACAACCACTTGATTTACTTGGCCTCTTCACATTGGACTTCTCTCTTTTGTTTCATTATAAATATTTCCTTGGAATTATCATTTTATGACCATCGTAAAATAAAAAAATAAGGGAAATTATAGAAAAAACCTATTCCTTTTTTTAAATTTTAAGTTTTAAAATTGGTCCCTTATATTTTATAGTTTGCACTCAAGTCCCACTCTTTGAGAACACATAGTGTTTTTTAATTATTAATTTTGTTCATGTATAAGATTGGGCTCAAATTTTGTATGTCTATACTTTTCATCGATATGCACATATTTTTTTTAAAAAAAGAAGAAAAAGAATAAGAAGATTTACCAAATATTCAAACTACTAAATCACAAAAAAATATCCCTCTAATATTTAGTGGTATTTGATGCAAAGAAAAATAATGATTTTTAAATTTATATTTATTCTTATATTTTTCTAGGACTTTGAATATTTGGATTTTAGTTTTCTTGAGGGTTATTGTTATCTTTTTTTTTAGTTGTAGTTTTAACGGTAGAATTGGATGATTAGTTGTTTTTTAAATAAGATGGATATGGATAAGGATTAGTATGATTGGGTTGGTAAGACACTTAGAATATGTTAGACTTGTTTTTAAGAGATAGAGTTTAATTATTATTATTATTATTATTTTTTTCTTGTTCCTTTTAGTTTGGTTTTAAAGAGAAGATGTCTCTTCTTTGTAGAGATGGCTATTGGATAATAAAGAAATAGTTTGATCTTTGAAAAAATATTGGTGTAGACTCCCTTGCAGACCTAGATGTAGTATAATCTCTCAATCTTTTTTATTTTATTTTTGGACTTCCTTGCAGACCCAAAAAGGGTATAGTCTCTCAATCTTTTTATTTATTTATTTATTTATTTTTCCTGCATCAATTGATATCAGAGCATGGGGATTAAAGTTCCATACACCATATAGAGTGTTTTGATCAATTTGATCAAATATTTGAGCGATTGGATCAACAATTTGAGAGACACATGGAAGACCTTCGCGGAGTAAATACAACAATATCTACAAGATCCACTTAGTAGATTACGAGAAGATAAACAAGAACATGAAGAGGTAGATCACGATACAAACGACGATGTTAACAACCCAAAAGCGCAAAAAAAATTGAAAATCAATTACAAAGAAGAAGACATATGTGATGTAGTATTCAAAATCCAATATTGTGAGTTTGAAGGAGTAAGCAAGATTAAGCTCGAAATCTCAGTGTTCTACTTCAAGTTGCGCTCAAGGTATTTAATAAATTGGTTTACCGAAAACAAAGTACTGAGAAGAATGGTGAGACTACATTATCAATTATTCCATTACCTTTGAAGGATGTAAGCTTGAAGTCGAGCTTCTCCCAACGCTGAGAGAATAATTTTATTTTTTATTTTTTATTTTTTATTTTTTATTTTTTATTTTTTTAGAAGTTAGAAAATTTGTTATTTAGATTTTTAGTTTTCTTTAGGGTTATTCTTGTCTTTTTTAGTTGTAGAGATTTCAGAGATAGAATTGAAAGTTTAGCTTAGTTTTTTTTTATAAAGATGGGTATGAAATGTATTAACATAGTTGGGCTAGTTAGGATATGGTAGACTTGTTTTTAAGGGATAAGGGAGAGATAGAGTTTAGTTATATATTTCTATTTTATTTTTATATATTACTGATTTTAATTTATATTTAAAAGGAACATGTTCTTCTTTATAGAGATAGTTATTGGAGAATAAAAAAAAAGTTTGATATTTCAAAAGATCTTGGGATGAACTCTCTAGCAGACTTAAAGAGAAGGTATAATCTCTCATTTTTTTTATTTTTATTATTTATAATTTTCCCTACATCAGTATCTTAATAATTTTATTTATTTGATATCATTTTTTTGCATTTCAATATAAGTGTGATGGTGAGAAATATCGACATATCAAATTTGAGCTTAATCTGATGTACGAAAGAAAAAAGGCAAATTAAAATACACCATACCAACTCAAATAATGGGGCTTGAGTGTCAAATATGAAATAGAAAATATCGTTTTAAAAGTTTGAAAACAAAACACGATTTTTTTATAAATTTCCCAAG